CTGTGCCACTTTGATTTCCTTATTTCCATGTAGAATGCTTCCACGCTCACACATGCTCATATCATCTCACATCTAGCACCAACTGTCCTGCATCATCAGTGCCAGTGATCTTGAGGAGAGCAAGCCAGTCCTTATTGAAGTCGCAGTCCTCCTTCACAGCCGCTCCTACAGTGGCCATTTCACCGAAGTTGGCCATCAAAGCAGTCCAGTCGCCAGCACAAAGGGCACCAGAGTTCACCGCTGCACCGCATGCATTTGCTGCGAAGGACAGGTAGGAGGCAATCCAAGTCACTGAGGTGATGAAACCCGCAATACTCGCAGCACAACCTGCTGGAGAATTGTCTGGGCATCGAATTCCATCATATTTGATGGCCTTGTAAAGGAAGACCACAGCCTGGCCCAAGTAAGCAGCTCCCTGAACCACATCAATGACGCACTCGGTGCGGATCCAAGGAAGCTCCTCCGGCTGAGATTCGTAGAAGAGGTCGTTGAGATTTCGCAACGGCTGCTTCAATTCCAAGGTCTTGGCATGCTCCACCACCTGGTCGATTCCAGGGATCTGCTCCCATTCCTGGACAGTGTTGATGTCGAAGTTCTTGGACTGCAGCAAGGTCTCAGGTGAGCGGTACACAACCTTGGCAGCCACTCCAAGCACCACAAGCAGGGCAAGGCCGGCACCAGCAAGGTACCAGTGCCTTGGTTTGGCGCTGGGACTTTCTGGGATTTCCTCCAACAGCATCTCCTGGCCTTCTTCAGTTGCAAGCTGCATGTGCTCCGCCATGATTCCGAGTGCAGAAGTGCGGAGTCGTCACAGAACTGAAGCCAAAATGTGCTGCGGTGGCCCAGAGTCTCAGAAGAACGCACAAGGCACAGGCTCAGGCTCATGCTTCCACGCATACTTGATGAAGACCTTTTATATTTGTGTTATATATTTTTATATAATATATCATGATTCAATGACATTTGTTCACACTCTTTAACTCTTTAATGTGATTGAATTTGTATCTCTACATTGCTGTCTTCAATCCAGAGACCTCAATCTAGCAAGAACTGTCCACATCCCGACAAAGACAGATGGACAAACTCGACATAGCTCGACATACAGCCCTGACCCCCCTCAAGCACTCAAGCTTTCTCCCAAAGGTGTGGAGGTTCCATGCGTTCAGGTTCAACAAAGTGCTCATCTTGAGCAGTGTAGCAAGGTAGCGAACGAGCGTTGCTTTGAAAAGAGTACTGCAGGTGTCAAGACAGACAAACAGCTTTCGCAGTTCTGTCTCATTCCGGCAGACAAGGTCAGTCTCCAACTGACAGGCTAGGGAGGATCCCTGACTAAGTATGCCTCCTTCGAAATGGAAAAGGTGCTGGGGCGAGTACAGAGTCGAGACCCTACCTGATATATGTAGTTAGAAGGTGCGTTCTGTAGAAACTGCCAGGACTTAGTCCATGGGCAAGTGCTTCTCCTCTTCAAGCGGATCGGGCATGTCTGCACAATCCTCGGACACGGCAGAGCCACTGAGATTGAAAGTATTTGACAATATTATTAATATTTGACCCACGTGTGCCAAATCCACTCCCAGAATTTGCTCAACCAACGAGCCTCTCCAATTCTCTCCACATCTAAGACATCTATCTGCGGTTGAGCGTCAGAGGTGGTTGCGATGCCTGCAGCAGGACCGTTCGTCACAGCTGCAACCATATCCTCAGAGGGAGCTGGCATATGAGTTTCAAGTAAGGTAGCATGATGTAGCCTGATGCATCATGATGTAATATGATGTAATCATTGACACGTTGCCTCCGTGATCTCGTGCTTTCAAAGCCAGATTGGACACAAGAACATAGGCAACATAGGTGATGAAATCTTCAAAATGACTTGCGAGACGTGGAAAAACGGTGCGCTGGAGAGTGCCATGGACCATGGACGTGTTTGCATTCGTGCGAGTTGCAGAGATGTCGGCCGCGCACAAGGCCTTCTGGCTTCCCTTGTCCCAGCAATCAGACACAGCCAGTGACCTGGGTTTGATCCGCTTGTCCACAACAGAAAGACACGGCATGTGGAGAAATTGTTGGAACCTCTCTGTTGATGATATCCAAGCCGTTTTGATAATGCAGACTCATACCTACAGCAACCTCACTTCCTGAATCTCTCGCTCGGGCTTTAGACTTTTTTTTTGCTATTGCTTCCGACAAACCTTCTTGATTAACATCTACAAACAGTGTTTGGCTGCCAGCAACATAAATTACCCTGAACTGTGAGAGCCAAGTGGCGTGAACTGGGAGATCCAGGCAAACGAGGAGATGATATTCATGATGTTAATGGCACAGGCCCTGTAGCTGCAGAACATCAACACTGCCACAATCTGCCACATCTGTCACTCTCAGGAATTCGGAAGTTACAAGTGCCTAAAGCCTGAAGCCTGCAGTGTGTGTCCATGTCATGCCGTGACTTCGCGATCATGCCGGCTATGTGTTGCCATGCATTGCCACAGCATCCGTGGATGTCTGAAGCCTCTCCGAGCCAAGTGGCTTTGGCTCTGGGCAGGCCGATGCGGCCGAGCGGATCTGGAGAATGGCTCGCACGATGTAAGCGGCCTTAGGACGTGCTGTGACGAAGGTCCGCTGACTTTCATTCAATTTCCAGGATCCTCTGTGGAGGAAGCTCTTCAACCCCTTGACCCCTTGTGCCCAGAACCAGACTGCTATGTTTTTGAGACAAGAACATGCTCGACGAGAATGCCCCTACGCATCCGTGATTGCAAGATGATGGTCCCATCTAACTATACATAATTACTTATATTACACAATATTATACACATAACTATGACACATGAACTTCTTTTAAAGAGGATTCCCAGTCAACCTGAAAGCTTTTGCAAAGAAACGAGCTTTTCCTGCATGGTCGTGCCAAAGCACTCCTTCTGTGATGGAGTTCAATCCCATATGTTAAACGACCCCAACCCAAGGGTCACTTGATCAAAAGGGGGCCAGCCAAGCTGCCGCGTTAGTCACATCTGCGACAACGCACTGGGTCAGGTCAAAAGCACGGTTTCGGTCGGCCTCAGTCCGAGCTCGTGATGAAACTTTGTGGCCAAATTGTCCGAAGTGTGTCTGCAACCAACACTGCCAAACGGGTGAGGCTCACAAAGTGCTCACAAAGTCACAGAGTCGTTCAAATTCCACAAGCTAAGCCCAGCACAGTTCGAAGGGCATCGACCTTCTGGACAGTCTCAACTGTGGGCATAGCACCAGCGGGGACGAAAGTCTTCCATCCTGGTCCTCATCCAAGAGAGAATGTGGCAAGCGTTCTATCACAACTCTTCTCAAGATGGTGCAACATAGACAGAGTGACATACCGGGAACATCCGACAACTAACATGAGTGAGGTGTTTGTAAGCTGCTGCCTTAAAGCCGGCTTCCCGGGTACCGTCATGACTCGCGGGGGTCTAGGTCTTCACGGACAGGTGTCGTGATGAACTGTCATGACGACGCTTTGTGCGTTTGATGTTTTTTGTAATTTCTGCTATTACTATGACCGCATATAAACTCTCCTTTTTGCATTGAAATGAATCCAAACTATGTTTTAAACGGTATCTATTTAATGCGCCGCATGCTCACAGAAAATGATGAAATACCAAATCTGCGTTTAAGGCAACCTACCCGGCACAGTCATGAAGTACAGGGTCCTGCTTCCTCATGAAGAGGGTCTGTTATGAGAATTCATGAAGACACCGCTTTCGTTGGGTAAAAAACAACTGTTTTTCTAAGTTTGGGCTTACAAGAATTGAAAATTAAAAGCCCACAGCCTATGAAACATAAAGTATGATTCGGACCGCCGTCAGCCGCTATCCCTGCTTCGGTCATTGAAGTTCCGGTCATGCATCAAGCAATCAGCCACTGCAATTTTACGATGCGCTTGCTCAAATGAGCATATTAGTCGTACTTTTGACAGGTTCGAAGCCGTGCGCATGGAGCTTACAACTGACAATCACGGTGATCACGTGAACGCACTACATATGCCCAGGATTTGGAACGAACAACTAATCACGCTGCTACGAATGAGATGTTAGATGTCGCGTTGCTTTCTGTAAACATAACAGACTGTGGGCAAATGGTCCAAGAGTTTGATGTTACATGGTGCCCCGTACACGGTCATGAATGTATTATCTTGTGAGCTGCCAGTTCTCCGCACAGGCAGCAGGATCAATGTTTTCATTGCCCACAGTGACACTCGTTACATGTCATTGCCCAAAGTGACTGGTGACGCAAAACCGATGGAAAATGCACTATGATGCATTCTCATCTGCAGAAAGAAAAAACTACAATATATTTACATTATTTATTGCAAATGCACACTAGATCAATTAACAACTGACAACGAAAAAACACAAACCATTAAAAAGCAAACACGCAAATAACACAAACAACAAAGTGTGACAACAACGGATGAAACAACAAATCAACACACAACAGCTCAACGAACAACAAATGAAGAAAACCATCTTACCGACAACAAACAACCATCACATGACAAACACACCCACCAACAAACACGTCCACCCACCCCCACTGAACACCACCGCAACAACAATTACAAATCCTACCGCCACCGCAACCACCACCACCATCACAAACACAAAAACTACCACCACCAAGACTACCACCACAAAAACCACCACCACAAAAACCACCACATAAACCACCACCGGCACCACCACCACCACCACCACGCCCACCACCCACCACCACGCCCACCACCCACCGCCACCACCATAACCACCACGACGACCACCACCGCAACAACAGCAACAACAGCAGCAGGAGCAACAGTAGCCAAGAACAACAACAAGAATAGCAAGAACAACAAGAACAACAACAAGAAGACCAACAGCAACAACAGCAGCAAGAGCAACAGTAGCAAGAGCAGCAACAAGAACAACAAGAACAACAAAAGAAACAACAAAAACCAAGAACAAGAACAACAGCAACAACAACCACATTAGAAAGCAACCGGTTGTTTATTCAATGGCTCATGACGCTGCATTTCGTCCAGAAATCACCTTTTTGTGGGGAAGCAAAAGGCTTTTAGGTCCAGACGCGTATGTGCACGTGACACACGGCTAATTATCCAAGTAGGGCCCCGGGAATTCCAAGCAAAGTAATTTCCATCCAAACCAGTAAGACTTGGAACAATGCCGATCATCTCTTGAAGTGGCTGGGAAAAACAAAGCCGCCGATCAATGATGGTTAGTCCGTCCCTTTTTTTTTTCTTCGCAGACCAGTGTGGTTTGCGCTTTCCTGAGTGTGAGTGGATGGGCTAAGAGCCCACTTGCTTGGTGTTAGATGGTTTACAAACTTGTATCCAATGATGTTGCCATCATTTACCAGAGAGCTGAAGACTAATCCCACTGGCTGACCTACTGCCGCTGGCTGACTCCACGTTGGCAAACGAATAAGCTTAGTGTGAGTGCTTGCGATTGTTACTACTTTTTCCACGCAATGAGAAAAATGATGGTGGCAATGGTAGTGGAGTGGAGGGCGCAGTCAAAAAAAAGCGGTGAGTCGTGAATGGTTGACTTGGGGCTGAGGTGCTGAGGAATGTCGCTGCAACACGGCAGCAGCAGAAGCAATGGCAGCAACGGTGGCAAAACCCACAACGACCACAGCAGTGGCAGATGGCGGCGGTGATGATGACAACCGCCACCATCACAAGGACGCCCACAATGGCCCACAAATACCACCGACTAGAAAAGACGCTATACGGCGCAAAGTGCAGATCCCAGAGCCTGTCAGCACACTGGCCCACCAGTGCCAGAGGCAAAAGGTGTAACGTCTAAGGTCGGTTGTTCTCATTGATGCCTTTTTTTGTCAGTGTTGCTGCTGCTGCTGCTGCTGCTGTTGCTGTTGCTACTGATTCTGCGGCTGCTGTGTTTTCTGCCGCTGTGTGTTGTTGTTGCTGCCATTGTTGCAGTTGCTGCTATTGTTGGCTGCCACTGCTGTGGTCGTTGTGACTGTTGCCACCGTTGCTGCCATTGCTTCTGCTGCTGCTGCTGCTGCTGCTGCAGCAGCAGCAGTGTAGCAGCGACATTCCTCAGCACCTCAGCCCCAAGTCAACCATTCACGACTCACCACTTTTTTTGACTGCGCCCTCCACTCCACTACCATTGCCACCATCTTTTTTCGCATTGCGTGGAAAAAGTAGTAACAATCGCAAGCACTCACACTAAGCTTATTCGTTTGCCAAAGTGGAGTCAGCCAGCGGCAGCACGTCAGCCAGTGGAATTAGTCTACAGCTCTCTGGTAAATGATGGCAAGATCATTGGATACAAGTTTGTAAACCATCTAACACCAAGCAAGTGGGCTCTTAGCCCATCCACTCACACTCAGGAAAGCGCAAACCACACTGGTCTGCGAAGTAAAAAAAAGGGACGGACTAACCATCATTGATCGGCGGCTTTGTTTTTCCCAGCCACTTCAAGAGATGATCGGCATTGTTCCAAGTCTTACTGGTTTGGATGGAAATTACTTTGCTTGGAATTCCCGGGGCCCTACTTGGATAATTAGCCGTGTGTCACGTGCACATATGCGTCTGGACCTAAAAGCCTTTTGCTTCTCCACAAAAAAAGGATCTCTGAACGAAATGCAGCGTCATGAGCCATTGAATAAACAACCGGTTGCTTCCCAACCAGACAAAGCTGATAATCATCCCGAAAAAAAACAGAAAGACGTACCAATATTGAATTTGAAACTTCATTTTGGCAATGTTTTCTGCTCCTGTCTCAGCCTGTCTCTGATTAGTTTTGCCCTGATTCATGTCTTGATATGTCATGATGTAGCCTCAAAAAGAAACAACAACACTTGCAGACATGTCCTGACGACACCTCAGGAAACCCATCCAGATGGACTTAGACTTAGAGAAACCTCTACTAGACGACATGCCAGAAAAATGTTCCCGGCGACATGTCAGGAAACACTTCCTGACGACATGTCGTGACCACGCCCCTGATGACATAAAAGAAACTCCTTGCTGACAACATGCCTGGAAAACCTTCCTAGCACATGTTATGAGCCCCGACTTGGCGACAAAATGTCAAGAACGCCTTCCTGACAATGTGTCCGGAACACCTTTGGGACAACATGTCATGAGCCCTTTCTTGACGACAACATGTCAGGAACCCCTTCCTGACAACAGCACGCCAAGACCCTCTTCGTGACAACATGTCATGAGCCCTTTCTTGACGACAACCTATCAAAAAATCCTTTCCTGACAGCATGTCAAGAACCTCTTCCTGACAGCATGTCATGAGCCCCGTCTTGACGACAACATGTCAGGAACCCCTTCCTGACGACGTGTCCGGAACCCGTTCCTGACAACATGTCAGAAACCCTTTCCTAACGGCATGTCATGACCCCTTCCTGACGGCGTGTCAAGAACATCTTCCACACAGCACGTCAGGAACCCCTTCCGGACGATGTGTCCGGAACCCCTTCCGGACAACATGTCGGACCCCCACCTGAAGGCATGTTTTGAACCCTTTCCGAGGGACGTGTCAGGAACCCCTTCCTGACGAAATGTCGTGTTCCTGTTAAGAACCCTTTCTGGTGAAATGGTCGGAACGTGCTCCTGACAATATATATATATATACATATATATATAGATATAAATAAGTAAACAAATATATGAATATATACATATATGTCAGGAACCCTTTCCTAACGACATGCTTTGAACCCCTTCCTGACGACATGTTTAGAACCCTTTCCTGACGATATGGTATGAACCCCTTCCTGGCAACATGTCATGAGCCCTTTCTGGACCACAACATGTCAGGAACCCCTTCCTGACAATATGTCACGAAGCTCTTCCTGACAACATGTCAGGAACCCCTTCCTGACAGCATGTCACGAACCTCTTCCTGACAACATGTCATGACCCTTTCTTGACGACAATATTTCAGGAACCCCTTCCTGACGATTTTTCCGGAACCCTTTCCAGACAACATGACGACGTGACATGGCATGGACACACCCTTTTTTTCTTGGAAATAGCTTTGTAACATCATGTTCCTGTGACTTTGTCATATGCTCCGTGAGACCGTGAGGTGTTCTTTGACACATCACTGCCCGAAACGGCCCGAAAATGTAATTTGAGGCCATGAACCGTGGCCAAATTTTGTATTGTGAAAGTTACCAGTTGTGCACCTGGTGCTGCACAGCCTGAAAAAATACAACGTAGGCTTTGCTCACAGCATGTCACGTTTCAGTTCCCTTTTCCTGTAAAAATATGTTCGTTTCCAAGGCATCTAATTGCACCCTCGAATCTCTACACATGCGCTTCTTCTTGCCATATGATTTGCCATGCGTTCTTACAAGAGAGTTTTGTTGAATCAGCGCAAACATGTGCTGTGGTTTGTGGATTTTGATGTAGGGCTATCTTTGTGTTGATGATGTGATGATGCCGGCCTAATATTTCCGCATGCATTGAAACCCAAAACATGCAGAGATAAAGTTGGCTAGTGCTCAGCTTCAAGGAAACACATGCAAACAAGCGTGCATAACAATTGGCATGTTCAAAACGTAAATGGATATATGCAACAGCAAACCTAGATCTTAGGGTCTTATACAAATATCCGTTTTGGCGGAGCTACATTTTTCAATCATGAGGTTACTTTCCGAATAAGAGCCACATGTGAAGTGGTGGGCTCCGTTTGGGGGCGCTTCATTTTTCAATCAGGGGATCATTTGCCAAAAAAAGTGGAAGATGTGATGGGCTCCGTTTTGCGGTGCATGTTTTCTCAACGGTATCCTTCTAGTTGACCCAGTGAGGTGGAGTCTCTCCAGAATGCGAGAAACCAATGTGAAAACGGTGGCCAAAGCCCAGCAATTCTGAAAGGCGAAGAACTCATGAGTAATTGCACGCTTGGTGAAAGCCTGGCTTCATGTTCCGACTCAGCCATTTGATGCATTCTTGTCCTCACTGTGTTGAGGCTACTGGCGTGTGTCACAAGCAAAAAAGAGTGTGATACCAAAGCCCGTCCAGTCTAAAGCCGGCAAGAGCGGAGAAAGGCAAATATTTCTGCCGTGCCCCACAATCGTTGCTGATCACCTGTGATCTGAAGGATGTTTGGCCAAATTCAAACCTCTTATGTCGACTATGTTACTTTCCTCTTGTGAAAAACACTGCTGAAGAAACCATTGTAGAGTGTAGAGAGAAGCTCCAAACTTGTTTCTCTGCAGTGATGAGATGAACTCTGGCAACTTGAAGAATCTTTCTGACACTGCATAAAGGAGTTGGCTTTTATTGCCCAAACGGTTCCCCGTGTTGCGTCAATTTGCTGGTTTGAAACAACGCGGGCACACACACACACATATATATATGCTACTGTTTTTCCATCTATCAGCAAAGCGGTTTCTTCCTTGCAGGGTCCCGACCACTATAAGTAATTCCTCGTTCCACAGGAAATTTCACTATCAAACACGTAATATTCTACATTATACACCGTTTTCTACACCCCAGCCAGCATGTTGGATGTAAAAGTTGAACCAAATCCTTTGGAACAGAGCCCCGCGCAATGTCAAACATTGCAGATGCGAGAAAACATAATAAAAAGAAACTGTCCCCATTTTTGCTGCTCTAAATATATATATATGTATATATGTATATATATATATATGTATATATATATATATATATGTATATATATATATGTATATATATATGTATATATATATACACACATAACAACTCAGGAAGTGCAAATGAAGTTGCTGAGGAAAAACAGTTTCCTTTTTTGTGTGCATTCTCGCAGCATTTTGGAAGCAACATTCTTAAATGTTGCAGATGCGAAACCAAACAAAAAGACAAACAACTATGTATTGTCATGTATCACAAAATTCAGCTGGTGATAAACACATATATTGATTGCATTTTTTCCTATTTTCCAACCAAAAAAATCTGGGATCTATTTTGTGAGCCACTTTTTTTGGGGGAATAATAAGGAAACCTCGAAAAAATAATCAAACATAGCAGGCGCGAAAAACAAAAAGTCAATAATCACAAATTTGGTTCCCATTTTTTCAAGACATACGAAACATCAGCAGGCGAAAACAAACCTGCATTTTAAAAAACAACACGTTTTTTTCTTTAAACTTTACTGTCACCGATCGTCGAAAAAATGATACTTAAAGAAACAGTGGTCGCCACAACCCCTCTCGTCAAGATAGGGTACCGTTTGCCCGGCAAACCCCGCAGCAGCTTACAACATGCAGCATGACTCGATGACATCTTTAATATTCAAACACGGGGGCATGAAAAATAAACAATAAATACAAATTGACGGTGAAAAAAAAACTATATAATTAAAAAGACATACAAAAAATGTTCAATCACCATGTTTGTCGACGTCCACAACTTTGTATATTAAGGTTGTGTGGGAGCCCCACGAACTCTGTTTTAAGTTATATGGAAGCCCCGCGAGGTCCCGTTATACTAGCTAGCCCGCGACCTCCTCACGGTACCTGTTAGAAACAAAACCTCCCAGCATCTTACTAAAGTGAGGTGCAACTGTGCCACTTTGATTTCCTTATTTCCATGTAGAATGCTTCCACGCTCACACATGCTCATATCATCTCACATCTAGCACCAACTGACCAACTGTCCTGCATCATCAGTGCCAGTGATCTTGAGGAGAGCAAGCCAGTCCTTATTGAAGTCGCAGTCCTCCTTCACAGCCGCTCCTACAGTGGCCATTTCACCGAAGTTGGCCATCAAAGCAGTCCAGTCGCCAGCACAAAGGGCACCAGAGTTCACCGCTGCACCGCATGCATTTGCTGCGAAGGACAGGTAGGAGGCAATCCAAGTCACTGAGGTGATGAAACCCGCAATACTGGCAGCACAACCCGCTGGAGAATTGTCTGGGCATCGAATTCCATCATATTTGATGGCCTTGTAAAGGAAGACCACAGCCTGGCCCAAGTAAGCAGCTCCCTGAACCACATCAATGACGCACTCGGTGCGGATCCAAGGAGCTCCTCCGGCTGAGATTCGTAGAAGAGGTCGTTGAGATTTCGCAACGGCTGCTTCAATTCCAAGGTCTTGGCGTGCTCCACCACCTGGTCGATTCCAGGGATCTGCTCCCATTCCTGGACAGTGTTGATGTCGAAGTTCTTGGACTGCAGCAAGGTCTCAGGTGAGCGGTACACAACCTTGGCAGCCACTCCAAGCACCACAAGCAGGGCAAGGCCGGCACCAGCAAGGTACCAGTGCCTTGGTTTGGCGCTGGGACTTTCTGGGATTTCCTCCAACAGCATCTCCTGGCCTTCTTCAGTTGCAAGCTGCATGTGCTCCGCCATGATTCCGAGTGCAGAAGTGCGGAGTCGTCACAGAACTGAAGCCAAAATGTGCTGCGGTGGCCCAGAGTCTCAGAAGAACGCACAAGGCACAGGCTCAGGCTCATGCTTCCACGCATACTTGATGAAGACCTTTTATATTTGTGTTATATATTTTTATATGACATATCATGATTCAATGACATTTGTTCACACTCTTTAACTCTTTAATGTGATTGAATTTGTATCTCTACATTGCTGTCTTCAATCCAGAGACCTCAATCTAGCAAGAGCTGTCCACATCCCGACAAAGACAGATGGACAAACTCGACATAGCTCGACATACAGCCCTGACCCCCCTCAAGCACTCAAGCTTTCTCCCAAAGGTGTGGAGGTTCCATGCGTTCAGGTTCAACAAAGTGCTCATCTTGAGCAGTGTAGCAAGGTAGCGAACGAGCGTTGCTTTGAAAAGAGTACTGCAGGTGTCAAGACAGACAAACAGCTTTCGCAGTTCTGTCTCATTCCGGCAGACAAGGTCAGTCTCCAACTGACAGGCTAGGGAGGATCCCTGACTAAGTATGCCTCCTTCGAAATGGAAAAGGTGCTGGGGCAAGTACAGAGTCGAGACCCTACCTGATATATGTAGTTAGAAGGTGCGTTCTGTAGAAACTGCCAGGACTTAGTCCATGGGCAAGTGCTTCTCCTCTTCAAGCGGATCGGGCATGTCTGCACAATCCTCGGACACGGCAGAGCCACTGAGATTGAAAGTATTTGACAATATTATTAATATTTGACCCACGTGTGCCAAATCCACTCCCAGAATTTGCTCAACCAACGAGCCTCTCCAATTCTCTCCACATCTAAGACATCTATCTGCGGTTGAGCGTCAGAGGTGGTTGCGATGCCTGCAGCAGGACCGTTCGTCACAGCTGCAACCATATCCTCAGAGGGAGCTGGCATATGAGTTTCAAGTAAGGTAGCATGATGTAGCCTGATGCATCATGATGTAATATGATGTAATCATTGACACGTTGCCTCCGTGATCTCGTGCTTTCAAAGCCAGATTGGACACAAGAACATAGGCAACATAGGTGATGAAATCTTCAAAATGACTTGCGAGACGTGGAAAAACGGTGCGCTGGAGAGTGCCATGGACCATGGACGTGTTTGCATTCGTGCGAGTTGCAGAGATGTCGGCCGCGCACAAGGCCTTCTGGCTTCCCTTGTCCCAGCAATCAGACACAGCCAGTGACCTGGGTTTGATCCGCTTGTCCACAACAGAAAGACACGGCATGTGGAGAAATTGTTGGAACCTCTCTGTTGATGATATCCAAGCCGTTTTGATAATGCAGACTCATACCTACAGCAACCTCACTTCCTGAATCTCTCGCTCGGGGCTTTAGACTTTTTTTTGCTATTGCTTCCGACAAACCTTCTTGATTAACATCTACAAACAGTGTTTGGCTGCCAGCAACGTGAATTACCCTGAACTGTGAGAGCCAAGTGGCGTGAACTGGGAGATCCAGGCAAACGAGGAGATGATATTCATGATGTTAATGGCACAGGCCCTGTAGCTGCAGAACATCAACACTGCCACAATCTGCCACATCTGTCACTCTCAGGAATTCGGAAGTTACAAGTGCCTAAAGCCTGAAGCCTGCAGTGTGTGTCCATGTCATGCCGTGACTTCGCGATCATGCCGGCTATGTGTTGCCATGCATTGCCACAGCATCCGTGGATGTCTGAAGCCTCTCCGAGCCAAGTGGCTTTGGCTCTGGGCAGGCCGATGCGGCCGAGCGGATCTGGAGAATGGCTCGCACGATGTAAGCGGCCTTAGGACGTGCTGTGACGAAGGTCCGCTGACTTTCATTCAATTTCCAGGATCCTCTGTGGAGGAAGCTCTTCAACCCCTTGACCCCTTGTGCCCAGAACCAGACTGCTATGTTTTTGAGACAAGAACATGCTCGACGAGAATGCCCCTACGCATCCGTGATTGCAAGATGATGGTCCCATCTAACTATACATAATTACTTAATTACACAATATTATGTACACATAACTATGACACATGAACTTCTTTTAAAGAGGATTCCCAGTCAACCTGAAAGCTTTTGCAAAGAAACGAGCTTTTCCTGCATGGTCGTGCCAAAGCACTCCTTCTGTGATGGAGTTCAATCCCATATGTTAAACGACCCCAACCCAAGGGTCACTTGATCAAAAGGGGGCCAGCCAAGCTGCCGCGTTAGTCACATCTGCGACAACGCACTGGGTCAGGTCAAAAGCACGGTTTCGGTCGGCCTCAGTCCGAGCTCGTGATGAAACTTTGTGGCCAAATTGTCCGAAGTGTGTCTGCAACCAACACTGCCAAACGGGTGAGGCTCACAAAGTGCTCACAAAGTCACAGAGTCGTTCAAATTCCACAAGCTAAGCCCAGCACAGTTCGAAGGGCATCGACCTTCTGGACAGTCTCAACTGTGGGCATAGCACCAGCGGGGACGAAAGTCTTCCATCCTGGTCCTCATCCAAGAGAGAATGTGGCAACCGTTCTATCACAACTCTTCTCAAGATGGTGCAACATAGACAGAGTGACATACCGGGAACATCCGACAACTACCATGAGTGAGGTGCAACTGTGCCACTTTGATTTCCTTATTTCCATGTAGAATGCTTCCACGCTCACACATGCTCATATCATCTCACATCTAGCACCAACTGTCCTGCATCATCAGTGCCAGTGATCTTGAGGAGAGCAAGCCAGTCCTTATTGAAGTCGCAGTCCTCCTTCACAGCCGCTCCTACAGTGGCCATTTCACCGAAGTTGGCCATCAAAGCAGTCCAGTCGCCAGCACAAAGGGCACCAGAGTTCACCGCTGCACCGCATGCATTTGCTGCGAAGGACAGGTAGGAGGCAATCCAAGTCACTGAGGTGATGAAACCCGCAATACTCGCAGCACAACCTGCTGGAGAATTGTCTGGGCATCGAATTCCATCATATTTGATGGCCTTGTAAAGGAAGACCACAGCCTGGCCCAAGTAAGCAGCTCCCTGAACCACATCAATGACGCACTCGGTGCGGATCCAAGGAAGCTCCTCCGGCTGAGATTCGTAGAAGAGGTCGTTGAGATTTCGCAACGGCTGCTTCAATTCCAAGGTCTTGGCGTGCTCCACCACCTGGTCGATTCCAGGGATCTGCTCCCATTCCTGGACAGTGTTGATGTCGAAGTTCTTGGACTGCAGCAAGGTCTCAGGTGAGCGGTACACAACCTTGGCAGCCACTCCAAGCACCACAAGCAGGGCAAGGCCGGCACCAGCAAGGTACCAGTGCCTTGGTTTGGCGCTGGGACTTTCTGGGATTTCCTCCAACAGCATCTCCTGGCCTTCTTCAGTTGCAAGCTGCATGTGCTCCGCCATGATTCCGAGTGCAGAAGTGCGGAGTCGTCACAGAACTGAAGCCAAAATGTGCTGCGGTGGCCCAGAGTCTCAGAAGAACGCACAAGGCACAGGCTCAGGCTCATGCTTCCACGCATACTTGATGAAGACCTTTTATATTTGTGTTATATATATAATATATCATGATTCAATGACATTTGTTCACACTCTTTAACTCTTTAATGTGATTGAATTTGTATCTCTACATTGCTGTCTTCAATCCAGAGACCTCAATCTAGCAAGAACTGTCCACATCCCGACAAAGACAGATGGACAAACTCGACATAGCTCGACATACAGCCCTGACCCCCCTCAAGCACTCAAGCTTTCTCCCAAAGGTGTGGAGGTTCCATGCGTTCAGGTTCAACAAAGTGCTCATCTTGAGCAGTGTAGCAAGGTAGCGAACGAGCGTTGCTTTGAAAAGAGTACTGCAGGTGTCAAGACAGACAAACAGCTTTCGCAGTTCTGTCTCATTCCGGCAGACAAGGTCAGTCTCCAACTGACAGGCTAGGGAGGATCCCTGACTAAGTATGCCTCCTTCGAAATGGAAAAGGTGCTGGGGCAAGTACAGAGTCGAGACCCTACCTGATATATGTAGTTAGAAGGTGCGTTCTGTAGAAACTGCCAGGACTTAGTCCATGGGCAAGTGCTTCTCCTCTTCAAGCGGATCGGGCATGTCTGCACAATCCTCGGACACGGCAGAGTCACTGAGATTGAAAGTATTTGACCATATTATTAATATTTGACCCACGTGTGCCAAATCCACTCCCAGAATTTGCTCAACCAACGAGCCTCTCCAATTCTCTCCACATCTAAGACATCTATCTGCGGTTGAGCGTCAGAGGTGGTTGCGATGCCTGCAGCAGGACCGTTCGTCACAGCTGCAACCATATCCTCAGAGGGAGCTGGCATATGAGTTTCAAGTAAGGTAGCATGATGTAGCCTGATGCATCATGATGTAATATGATGTAATCATTGACACGTTGCCTCCGTGATCTCGTGCTTTCAAAGCCAGATTGGACACAAGAACATAGGCAACATAGGTGATGAAATCTTCAAAATGACTTGCGAGACGTGGAAAAACGGTGCGCTGGAGAGTGCCATGGACCATGGACGTGTTTGCATTCGTGCGAGTTGCAGAGATGTCGGCCGCGCACAAGGCCTTCTGGCTTCCCTTGTCCCAGCAATCAGACACAGCCAGTGACCTGGGTTTGATCCGCTTGTCCACAACAGAAAGACACGGCATGTGGAGAAATTGTTGGAACCTCTCTGTTGATGATATCCAAGCCGTTTTGATAATGCAGACTCATACCTACAGCAACCTCACTTCCTGAATCTCTCGCTCGTGGCTTTAGACTTTTTTTTTGCTATTGCTTCCGACAAACCTTCTTGATTAACATCTACAAACAGTGTTTGGCTGCCAGCAACATAAATTACCCTGAACTGTGAGAGCCAAGTGGCGTGAACTGGGAGATCCAGGCAAACGAGGAGATGATATTCATGATGTTAATGGCACAGGCCCTGTAGCTGCAGAACATCAACACTGCCACAATCTGCCACATCTGTCACTCTCAGGAATTCGGAAGTTACAAGTGCCTAAAGCCTGAAGCCTGCAGTGTGTGTCCATGTCATGCCGTGACTTCGCGATCATGCCGGCTATGTGTTGCCATGCATTGCCACAGCATCCGTGGATGTCTGAAGCCTCTCCGAGCCAAGTGGCTTTGGTTCTGGGCAGGCCGATGCGGCCGAGCGGATCTGGAGAATGGCTCGCACGATGTAAGCGGCCTTAGGACGTGCTGTGACGAAGGTCCGCTGACTTTCATTCAATTTCCAGGATCCTCTGTGGAGGAAGCTCTTCAACCCCTTGACCCCTTGTGCCCAGAACCAGACTGCTATGTTTTTGAGACAAGAACATGCTCGACGAGAATGCCCCTACGCATCCGTGATTGCAAGATGATGGTCCCATCTAACTATACATAATTACAGAAATTACGCATAATACACATAACTATGACACATGAACTTCTTTCAAATAGGTTCCCAGTCAACCTGAAAGCTTTTGCAAAGAAACGAGCTTTTCCTGCATGGTCGTGCCAAAGCACTCCTTCTGTGATGGAGTTCAATCCCATATGTTAAACGACCCCAACCCAAGGGTCACTTGATCAAAAGGGGGCCAGCCAAGCTGCCGCGTTAGTCACATCTGCGACAACGCACTGGGTCAGGTCAAAAGCACGGTTTCGGTCGGCCTCAGTCCGAGCTCGTGATGAAACTTTGTGGCCAAATTGTCCGAAGTGTGTCTGCAACCAACACTGCCAAACGGGTGAGGCTCACAAAGTGCTCACAAAGTCACAGAGTCGTTCAAATTCCACAAGCTAAGCCCAGCACAGTTCGAAGGGCATCGACCTTCTGGACAGTCTCAACTGTGGGCATAGCACCAGCGGGGACGAAAGTCTTCCATCCTGGTCCTCATCCAAGAGAGAATGTGGCAACCGTTCTATCACAACTCTTCTCAAGATGGTGCAACATAGACAGAGTGACATACCGGGAACATCCGACAACTACCATGAGTGAGGTGCAACTGTGCCACTTTGATTTCCTTATTTTATCTTATTTTCATGTAGAATGCTTCCACGCTCACACATGCTCATATTGTATCATCTCACATCTAGCACCAACTGTCCTGCATCATCAGTGCCAGTGATCTTGAGGAGAGCAAGCCAGTCCTTATTGAAGTCGCAGTCCTCCTTCACAGCCGCTCCTACAGTCGCCATTTCACCGAAGTTGGCCATCAAAGCAGTCCAGTCGCCAGCACAAAGGGCACCAGAGTTCACCGCTGCACCGCATGCATTTGCTGCGAAGGACAGGTAGGAGGCAATCCAAGTCACTGAGGTGATGAAACCCGCAATACTCGCAGCACAACCTGCTGGAGAATTGTCTGGGCATCGAATTCCATCATATTTGATGGCCTTGTAAAGGAAGACCACAGCCTGGCCCAAGTAAGCAGCTCCCTGAACCACATCAATGACGCACTCGGTGCGGATCCAAGGAAGCTCCTCCGGCTGAGATTCGTAGAAGAGGTCGTTGAGATTTCGCAACGGCTGCTTCAATTCCAAGGTCTTGGCGTGCTCCACCACCTGGTCGATTCCAGGGATCTGCTCCCATTCCTGGACAGTGTTGATGTCGAAGTTCTTGGACTGCAGCAAGGTCTCAGGTGAGCGGTACACAACCTTGGCAGCCACTCCAAGCACCACAAGCAGGGCAAGGCCGGCACCAGCAAGGTACCAGTGCCTTGGTTTGGCGCTGGGACTTTCTGGGATTTCCTCCAACAGCATCTCCTGGCCTTCTTCAGTTGCAAGCTGCATGTGCTCCGCCATGATTCCGAGTGCAGAAGTGCGGAGTCGTCACAGAACTGAAGCCAAAATGTGCTGCGGTGGCCCAGAGTCTCAGAAGAACGCACAAGGCACAGGCTCAGGCTCATGCTTCCACGCATACTTGATGAAGACCTTTTATATTTGTGTTATATATTTTTATATATATATCATGATTCAATGACATTTGTTCACACTCTTTAACTCTTTAATGTGATTGAATTTGTATCTCTACATTGCTGTCTTCAATCCAGAGACCTCAATCTAGCAAGAACTGTCCACATCCCGACAAAGACAGATGGACAAACTCGACATAGCTCGACATACAGCCCTGACCCCCCTCAAGCACTCAAGCTTTCTCCCAAAGGTGTGGAGGTTCCATGCGTTCAGGTTCAACAAAGTGCTCATCTTGAGCAGTGTAGCAAGGTAGCGAACGAGCGTTGCTTTGAAAAGAGTACTGCAGGTGTCAAGACAGACAAACAGCTTTCGCAGTTCTGTCTCATTCCGGCAGACAAGGTCAGTCTCCAACTGACAGGCTAGGGAGGATCCCTGACTAAGTATGCCTCCTTCGAAATGGAAAAGGTGCTGGGGCAAGTACAGAGTCGAGACCCTACCTGATATATGTAGTTAGAAGGTGCGTTCTGTAGAAACTGCCAGGACTTAGTCCATGGGCAAGTGCTTCTCCTCTTCAAGCGGATCGGGCATGTCTGCACAATCCTCGGACACGGCAGAGCACTGAGATTGAAAGTATTTGACATATTATTAATATTTGACCCACGTGTGCCAAATCCACTCCCAGAATTTGCTCAACCAACGAGCCTCTCCAATTCTCTCCACATCTAAGACATCTATCTGCGGTTGAGCGTCAGAGGTGGTTGCGATGCCTGCAGCAGGACCGTTCGTCACAGCTGCAACCATATCCTCAGAGGGAGCTGGCATATGAGTTTCAAGTAAGGTAGCATGATGTAGCCTGATTCCTGATGCATCATGATGTAATATGATGTAATATGATGTAATCATTGACACGTTGCCTCCGTGATCTCGTGCTTTCAAAGCCAGATTGGACACAAGAACATAGGCAACATAGGTGATGAAATCTTCAAAATGACTTGCGAGACGTGGAAAAACGGTGCGCTGGAGAGTGCCATGGACCATGGACGTGTTTGCATTCGTGCGAGTTGCAGAGATGTCGGCCGCGCACAAGGCCTTCTGGCTTCCCTTGTCCCAGCAATCAGACACAGCCAGTGACCTGGGTTTGATCCGCTTGTCCACAACAGAAAGACACGGCATGTGGAGAAATTGTTGGAACCTCTCTGTTGATGATATCCAAGCCGTTTTGATAATGCAGACTCATACCTACAGCAACCTCACTTCCTGAATCTCTCGCTCGGGGCTTTAGACTTTTTTTTTGCTATTGCTTCCGACAAACCTTCTTGATTAACATCTACAAACAGTGTTTGGCTGCCAGCAACGTGAATGACCCTGAACTGTGAGAGCCAAGTGGCGTGAACTGGGAGATCCAGGCAAACGAGGAGATGATATTCATGATGTTAATGGCACAGGCCCTGTAGCTGCAGAACATCAACACTGCCACAATCTGCCACAATCTGCCACAATTCGGAAGTTCAAAGTGCCTGAAGCCTGAAGCCTGCAGTGTGTGTCCATGTCATGCCGTGACTTCGCGATCATGCCGGCTATGTGTTGCCATGCATTGCCACAGCATCCGTGGATGTCTGAAGCCTCTCCGAACCAAGTGGCTTTGGCTCTGGGCAGGCCGATGCGGCCGAGCGGATCTGGAGAATGGCTCGCACGATGTAAGCGGCCTTAGGACGTGCTGTGACGAAGGTCCGCTGACTTTCATTCAATTTCCAGGATCCTCTGTGGAGGAAGCTCTTCAACCCCTTGACCCCTTGTGCCCAGAACCAGACTGCTATGTTTTTGAGACAAGAACATGCTCGACGAGAATGCCCCTGCGCATTCGTGATTGCAAGATTATGGTCCCATCTAACTATACATAATTACACAATATTACACATATATACACATATAACTATGACACATGAACTTCTTTTAAAGAGTGTTCCAGCCATCCTGAAAGCTTTTGCAAAGAAACGAGCTTTTCCTGCATGGTCGTGCCAAAGCACTCCTTCTGTGATGGAGTTCAATCCCATATGTTAAACGACCCCAACCCAAGGGTCACTTGATCAAAAGGGGGCCAGCCAAGCTGCCGCGTTAGTCACATCTGCGACAACGCACTGGGTCAGGTCAAAAGCACGGTTTCGGTCGGCCTCAGTCCGAGCTCGTGATGAAATTTTGTGGCCAAATTGTCCGAAGTGTCTGCAACCAACACTGCCAAACCCTCACATGTTTGTTCTTCATGTTCTTCCATTGATTCGGTGGAAATCTACGGATAGCATGGATGGCCAAGTATGCCTCGATTTTGACTAGAAAATTGGTTTGTCCAACGATGAGGAGGCTCATCAAGTGCTCACAAAGTCACAGAGTCGTTCAAATTCCACAAGCTAAGCCCAGCACAGTTCGAAGGGCATCGACCTTCTGGACAGTCTCAACTGTAGGCATAGCACCAGCGGGGACGAAAGTCTTCCATCCTGGTCCTCATCCAAGAGAGAATGTTGCAACCGTTCTATCACAACTCTTCTCAAGATGGTGCAACATAGACAGAGTGACATACCGGGAACATCCGACAACTACCATGAGTGAGGTGCAACTGTGTCACTTTGATTTCCTTATTTTATCTTATTTTCATGTAGAATGCTTCCACGCTCACACATGCTCATATCATCTCACATCTTGCACCAACTGTCCTGCATCATCAGTGCCAGTGATCTTGAGGAGAGCAAGCCAGTCCTTATTGAAGTCGCAGTCCTCCTTCACAGCCGCTCCTACAGTGGCCATTTCACCGAAGTTGGCCATCAAAGCAGTCCAGTCGCCAGCACAAAGGGCGCCAGAGTTCACCGCTGCACCGCATGCATTTGCTGCGAAGGACAGGTAGGAGGCAATCCAAGTCACTGAGGTGATGAAACCCGCAATACTCGCAGCACAACCTGCTGGAGAATTGTCTGGGCATCGAATTCCATCATATTTGATGGCCTTGTAAAGGAAGACCACAGCCTGGCCCAAGTAAGCAGCTCCCTGAACCACATCAATGACGCACTCGGTGCGGATCCAAGGAAGCTCCTCCGGCTGAGATTCGTAGAAGAGGTCGTTGAGATTTCGCAACGGCTGCTTCAATTCCAAGGTCTTGGCGTGCTCCACCACCTGGTCGATTCCAGGGATCTGCTCCCATTCCTGGACAGTGTTGATGTCGAAGTTCTTGGACTGCAGCAAGGTCTCAGGTGAGCGGTACACAACCTTGGCAGCCACTCCAAGCACCACAAGCAGGGCAAGGCCGGCACCAGCAAGGTACCAGTGCCTTGGTTTGGCGCTGGGACTTTCTGGGATTTCCTCCAACAGCATCTCCTGGCCTTCTTCAGTTGCAAGCTGCATGTGCTCCGCCATGATTCCGAGAGTGCAGAAGTGCGGAGTCGTCACAGAACTGAAGCCAAAATGTGCTGCGGTGTGCTCGGCTTTTTAATGCCCTTGGTGTTTGGCACATTTTGGTGTCAGATATCTTCAAACCTATTGGCTCATTATGCTCATTGTGGCCGAAGGTGAATGCAAAAAAAAACGCTTCAATAAATTCAATCAAATCATGACACAGCGGACCTACTCCGCAACCCAGCTCAATCGCTCAAAGTTTCTCCCAATAAGTGGAGGTTCTCAATGATCAAGTCCGACCAACTGCTCGTTCGAGCAAGGTGGCAACAGGTGGCAACAGGTGGCAACAGGTGGCAACATAGTGTTGGGTTGAAAAGAAGTTGCATCAAGGTCAAAACAGATGATAACAGCTTTCGCTCAATCTGTCCCGGCCAATCAGCAGGTCCAGTCTCCAACTGGTACAATTCAAGAGGGAACATCCCTGGCTAAGTACGCCTCCAATGATTTGGAAGAAAACAGAAAAGGCCGCTACAAAGTCGAGATCCTACCTCATGTCAAGTTCCGTGGCCAACCATGAAATTGGTATCAAGAAGACAGGCCAGGACTTAGTCCATTGGCAAGTGCTTCTCCTCTTCAAGCGGGTCTGGCATGTCTGCACAATCCTCAGGAACAAGTGCAAAGCCATGCAGTATTCAAGCACGCATTCCAAGTCCACAATCCCGAAGAGTCCAGAAATCAAGAACAACAGGTCTCTCACGGGGTCTCACAGTCTCTCACGATCTCTCTCCAGAATCTGTGAACATCTTTCTGCAACTGAGTGACGGAGGTGGTTGCGATGCCTGCCGCAGGACCGTTCGTCACTGCTGCAACCATGTCCTTAGATTACAAAGCTGACAGACTGGCAGGCGAGCTGCATTAAACAGAAAGTCTGGGTGTTCCAGGCATCAAAAACATTCAAAAAAAGGAACTAGTATCTGCGTGACCGCACTCTCGCTATCGCGCTCGAGTCTGGACACATCTTTTGACTCAACTCTTCAAAAGAACCGAAACCACAAAATCCTCGAAGTCATTTGCAACCTACGAAAATTGGCTGATAATGGGTGATCATCTTTGAATGCATGCAAGCTGCAGAGATGTCGGCCGCGCACAAGGCCTTCTGACTTCCCTTGTCCCAGCAGTCAGACACAGCCAGCGACCTGGGTTTGATCCATCTGTCACAAGATTCCACAAACGCTGGTGTATTCTCAAGGAGACGTGGATATTGATGGAACTTGTCTATTGTTAGGTCTATTCAGTCTATTGTCAGGTCTTCATAGTGCAAACAGATACCTGACCTCCCTGAACCCCTTGTTGGCAATGCTTTAGAGTAGCTAATGCACCTCATGCTTCTGATGCACTGATCTTACATACAGGTACAGTACTGCTGGGAGACCACGACAAACAATGTTTGGCTGCCAACAATGTGAATGACCCCCAACTGTGAGAGCCAAGTGGCGTGAACTGGGAGATCCATGCAAACGAGGAGATGATATTCATGATGTTAATGGCACAGGCCCTGTAGCTGTCAGAATTTGCCACATCTGTCACTCTTAGGAATTCGGAAGTTCAACGTGCCTGAAGCCTGAAGAGTGGGTGTCCATGTCATGTCGTGACTTCATGCCGTGACTTCACGATCATGCCGGCTATGTGTTGCCATGCATTGCCACAGCATCCGTGGATGTCTGAAGCCTCTCCGAGCCAAGTGGCTTTGGCTCTGGGCAGGCCGATGCGGCCGAGCGGATCTGGAGAATGGCTCGCACGATGTAAGCGGCCTTAGGACATGCTGTGACGAATGTCCCCCGAATTTCATTCAATTTCCAGGATCCTCTGTGGAGGAAGCTCTTCAACCCCTTGACCCCTTGTGCCCAGAACCAGACTGCTGTGTTTGAGACAAGGAAATGCTTTGACTCATCCATAACGTAGCGCAGCATTCATGATTCCAAGATGTAGCTCACATCTACATTTCCCATAGACTGAACGCCTTGCAAAGATCAGAAACGACTTGCCAGCCAACCCAGCCAAGCTGCCGCGTTGGTCACATCTGCGACGACGCACTGGGTGAGGTCAAAGGCACGGTTTCGGTCCGCCTGGGTCGCCAGATCGTGATAGAGGATACTTGAAGTGTTTATGAAACCAACCGCGCCACACTCTAATTATCTCTAATTCATTCTAATTCGTCATTCCCCCAAGCAGTTCCTCAATGTCCAACTATCAAGCTTGGCTCAGTTTCGACTAGAAAATTTGTGTGTCCAACGCGGGTTGGATAGCGCCCACAAAGTCACAGAGTTGTTCAAGATCCGCAAGCTAAGCCCAGCACAGTTCGAAGGGCATCGACCTTCTGGACAGTCTCAACTGTGGGCATAGCACCAGCGGGGACGAAAGTCTTCCATCCTGGTCCTCATCCAAGAGAGAATGTGGCAAGCGTTCTATCACAACTCTTCTCAAGATGGTGCAACATAGACAGAGTGACATACCGGGAACATCCGACAACTACCATGAGTGAGGCGCAACTGTGTCACTTTGATTTCCTTATTTTATCTTATTTTCATGTAGAATGCTTCCACGCTCACACATGCTCATATCATCTCACATCTAGCACCAACTGTCCTGCATCATCAGTGCCAGTGATCTTGAGGAGAGCAAGCCAGTCCTTATTGAAGTCGCAGTCCTCCTTCACAGCCGCTCCTACAGTGGCCATTTCACCGAAGTTGGCCATCAAAGCAGTCCAGTCGCCAGCACAAAGGGCGCCAGAGTTCACCGCTGCACCGCATGCATTTGCTGCGAAGGACAGGTAGGAGGCAATCCAAGTCACTGAGGTGATGAAACCCGCAATGCTCGCAGCACAACCTGCTGGAGAATTGTCTGGGCATCGAATTCCATCATATTTGATGGCCTTGTAAAGGAAGACCACAGCCTGGCCCAAGTAAGCAGCTCCCTGAACCACATCAATGACGCACTCGGTGCGGATCCAAGGAAGCTCCTCCGGCTGAGATTCGTAGAAGAGGTCGTTGAGATTTCGCAACGGCTGCTTCAATTCCAAGGTCTTGGCGTGCTCCACCACCTGGTCGATTCCAGGGATCTGCTCCCATTCCTGGACAGTGTTGATGTCGAAGTTCTTGGACTGCAGCAAGGTCTCAGGTGAGCGGTACACAACCTTGGCAGCCACTCCAAGCACCACAAGCAGGGCAAGGCCGGCACCAGCAAGGTACCAGTGCCTTGGTTTGGCGCTGGGACTTTCTGGGATTTCCTCCAACAGCATCTCCTGGCAAGCTGCATGTGCTCCGCCATGATTCCGAGTGCAGAAGTGCGGAGTCGTCACAGAACTGAAGCCAAAATGTGCTGCGGTGTGCTCGGCTTTTTAATGTCCTTGGTGTTTGGCACATTTTGGTGTCAGATATCTTCAAACCTATTGGCTCATTATGCTCATTGTGGCCGAAGGTGAATGCAAAAAAAAACGCTTCAATAAATTCAATCAAATCATGACACAGCGGACCTACTCCGCAACCCAGCTCAATCGCTCAAAGTTTCTCCCAATAAGTGGAGGTTCTCAATGATCAAGTCCGACCAACTGCTCGTTCGAGCAAGGTGGCAACAGGTGGCAACAGGTGGCAACAGGTGGCAACAGGTGGCAACAGGTGGCAACAGGTGGCAACAGGTGGGTTGAAAAGAAGTTGCATCAAGGTCAAAACAGATGATAACAGCTTTCGCTCAATCTGTCCCGGCCAATCAGCAGGTCCAGTCTCCAACTGGTACAATTCAAGAGGGAACATCCCTGGCTAAGTACGCCTCCAATGATTTGGAAGAAAACAGAAAAGGCCGCTACAAAGTCGAGATCCTACCTCATGTCAAGTTCCGTGGCAAACCATGAAATTGGTATCAAGAAGACAGGCCAGGACTTAGTCCATTGGCAAGTGCTTCTCCTCTTCAAGCGGGTCTGGCATGTCTGCACAATCCTCAGGAACAAGTGCAAAGCCATGCAGTATTCAAGCACGCATTCCAAGTCCACAATCCCGAAGAGTCCAGAAATCAAGAACAACAGGTCTCACGGGGTCTCACAGTCTCTCACGATCTCTCTCCAGAATCTGTGAACATCTTTCTGCAACTGAGTGACGGAGGTGGTTGCGATGCCTGCCGCAGGACCGTTCGTCACTGCTGCAACCATGTCCTTAGATCAATAGACCCAAGTCCAGTCTGGCAGGCTGACAGACTGGCAGCGACCTGCATTAAACAGAAAGTTGGTGCGCCATGTTCCAGCCATCAAAAACATTCAATAAAAAATTGAAAGATAGCAACAGTAACTAGTCTCTGTGTGACCACACTCTCGCTATCGCGCTGGAGTCTGGACACATCTTTTGACTCAACTCTTCAAAAGAACCGAAACCACAAAATCCTCGAAGTCATTTGCAACCTACGAAAATTGGCTGATAATGGGTGATCATCTTTGAATGCATGCAAGCTGCAGAGATGTCGGCCGCGCACAAGGCCTTCTGACTTCCCTTGTCCCAGCAGTCAGACACAGCCAGCGACCTGGGTTTGATCCATCTGTCACAAGATTCCACAAACGCTGGTGTATTCTCAAGGAGACGAGGAGATTGATGGAACTTGTCTATTGTTAGGTCTATTCAGTCTATTGTCAGGTCAGGTCTTCATAGTGCAAACAGATACCTGACCTCCCTGAACCCCTTGTTGGCAATGCTTTAGAGTAGCTAATGCCCTCATGCTTCTGATGCACTGATCTTACATACAGGTACAGTACTGCTGGGAGACCACGACAAACAATGTTTGGCTGCCAGCAATGTGAATGACCCCCAACTGTGAGAGCCAAGTGGCGTGAACTGGGAGATCCATGCAAACGAGGAGATGATATTCATGATGTTAATGGCACAGGCCCTGTAGCTGTCAGAATTTGCCACATCTGTCACTCTTAGGAATTCGGAAGTTCAACGTGCCTGAAGCCTGAAGAGTGGGTGTTCATGTCATGTCGTGACTTCATGCCGTGACTTCACGATCATGCCGGCTATGTGTTGCCATGCATTGCCACAGCATCCGTGGATGTCTGAAGCCTCTCCGAGCCAAGTGGCTTTGGCTCTGGGCAGGCCGATGCGGCCGAGCGGATCTGGAGAATGGCTCGCACGATGTAAGCGGCCTTAGGACATGCTGTGACGAATGTCCCCCGAATTTCATTCAATTTCCAGGATCCTCTGTGGAGGAAGCTCTTCAACCCCTTGACCCCTTGTGCCCAGAACCAGACTGCTGTGTTTGAGACAAGGAAATGCTTTGACTCATCCATAACGTAGCGCAGCATTCATGATTCCAAGATGTAGCTCACATCTACATTTCCCATAGACTGAACGCCTTGCAAAGATCAGAAACGACTTGCCAGCCAACCCAGCCAAGCTGCCGCGTTGGTCACATCTGCGACGACGCACTGGGTGAGGTCAAAGGCACGGTTTCGGTCCGCCTGGGTCGCCAGATCGTGATAGAGAATACTTGAAGTGTTTATGAAACCAACCGCGCCACACTCTAATTATCTCTAATTCGTCATTCCCCCAAGCAGTTCCTCAATGTCCAACTATCAAGCTTGGCTCAGTTTCGACTAGAAAATTTATGTGTCCAACGCGGGTTGGATAGCGCCCACAAAGTCACAGAGTTGTTCAAGATCCGCAAGCTAAGCCCAGCACAGTTCGAAGCGCATCGACCTTCTGGACAGTCTCAACTGTGGGCATAGCACCAGCGGGGACGAAAGTCTTCCATCCTGGTCCTCATCCAAGAGAGAATGTGGCAACCGTTCTATCACAACTCTTCTCAAGATGGTGCAACATAGACAGAGTGACATACCGGGAACATCCGACAACTACCATGAGTGAGGCGCAACTGTGTCACTTTGATTTCCTTATTTTATCTTATTTTCATGTAGAATGCTTCCACGCTCACACATGCTCATATCATCTCACATCTAGCACCAACTGTCCTGCATCATCAGTGCCAGTGATCTTGAGGAGAGCAAGCCAGTCCTTATTGAAGTCGCAGTCCTCCTTCACAGCCGCTCCTACAGTGGCCATTTCACCGAAGTTGGCCATCAAAGCAGTCCAGTCGCCAGCACAAAGGGCACCAGAGTTCACCGCTGCACCGCATGCATTTGCTGCGAAGGACAGGTAGGAGGCAATCCAAGTCACTGAGGTGATGAAACCCGCAATACTCGCAGCACAACCTGCTGGAGAATTGTCTGGGCATCGAATTCCATCATATTTGATGGCCTTGTAAAGGAAGACCACAGCCTGGCCCAAGTAAGCAGCTCCCTGAACCACATCAATGACGCACTCGGTGCGGATCCAAGGAAGCTCCTCCGGCTGAGATTGGTAGAAGAGGTCGTTGAGATTTCGCAACGGCTGCTTCAATTCCAAGGTCTTGGCGTGCTCCACCACCTGGTCGATTCCAGGGATCTGCTCCCATTCCTGGACAGTGTTGATGTCGAAGTTCTTGGACTGCAGCAAGGTCTCAGGTGAGCGGTACACAACCTTGGCAGCCACTCCAAGCACCACAAGCAGGGCAAGGCCGGCACCAGCAAGGTACCAGTGCCTTGGTTTGGCGCTGGGACTTTCTGGGATTTCCTCCAACAGCATCTCCTGGCCTTCTTCAGTTGCAAGCTGCATGTGCTCCGCCATGATTCCGAGTGCAGAAGTGCGGAGTCGTCACAGAACTGAAGCCAAAATGTGCTGCGGTGTGCTCGGCTTTTTAATGTCCTTGGTGTTTGGCACATTTTGGTGTCAGATATCTTCAAACCTATTGGCTCATTATGCTCATTGTGGCCGAAGGTGAATGCAAAAAAAAACGCTTCAATAAATTCAATCAAATCATGACACAGCGGACCTACTCGGCAACCCAGCTCAATCGCTCAAAGTTTCTCCAAGTGGAGGTTCTCAATGATCAAGTCCGACCAACTGCTCGTTCGAGCAAGGTGGCAACAGGTGGCAACAGGTGGCAACAGGTGGCAACAGGTGGCAACAGGTGGCAACAGGTGGCAACAGGTGGCAACATAGTGTTGGGTTGAAAAGAAGTTGCATCAAGGTCAAAACAGATGATAACAGCTTTCGCTCAATCTGTCCCGGCCAATCAGCAGGTCCAGTCTCCAACTGGTACAATTCAAGAGGGAACATCCCTGGCTAAGTACGCCTCTAGTGATTTGGAAGAAAACAGAAAAGGCCGCTACAAAGTCGAGATCCTACCTCATGTCAAGTTCCGTGGCCAACCATGGAATTGGCATCAAGAAGACAGGCCAGGACTTAGTCCATTGGCAAGTGCTTCTCCTCTTCAAGCGGGTCTGGCATGTCTGCACAATCCTCAGGAACAAGTGCAAAGCCATGCAGTATTTAAGCACGCATTCCAAGTCCACAATCCCGAAGAGTCCAGAAAGCAAGAACAACAGGTCTCACGGGGTCTCACAGTCTCTCACGATCTCTCTCCAGAATCTGTGAACATCTTTCTGCAACTGAGTGACGGAGGTGGTTGCGATGCCTGCCGCAGGACCGTTCGTCACTGCTGCAACCATGTCCTTAGATCAATAGACCCAAGTCCAGTCTGGCAGGCTGACAGACTGGCAGCGACCTGCATTAAACAGAAAGTTGGTGCGCCATGTTCCAGCCATCAAAAACATTCAATAAAAAAGTGAAAGATAGCAACAGTAACTAGTCTCTGTGTGACACACTCTCGCTATCGCGCTGGAGTATGGACACATCGTTTGACTCAACTCTTCAAAAGAACCGAAACCACAAAATCCTCGAAGTCATTTGCAACCTACGAAAATTGGCTGATAATGTGTGATCATCTTTGAATGCATGCAAGCTGCAGAGATGTCGGCCGCGCACAAGGCCTTCTGACTTCCCTTGTCCCAGCAGTCAGACACAGCCAGCGACCTGGGTTTGATCCATCTGTCACAAGATTCCACAAACGCTGGTGTATTCTCAAGGAGACGAGGAGATTGATGGAACTTGTCTATTGTTAGGTCTATTCAGTCTATTGTCAGGTCAGGTCTTCATAGTGCAAACAGATACCTGACCTCCCTGAACCCCTTGTTGGCAATGCTTTAGAGTAGCTAATGCCCTCATGCTTCTGATGCACTGATCTTACATACAGGTACAGTACTGCTGGGAGACCACGACAAACAATGTTTGGCTGCCAGCAATGTGAATGACCCCCAACTGTGAGAGCCAAGTGGCGTGAACTGGGAGATCCATGCAAACGAGGAGATGATATTCATGATGTTAATGGCACAGGCCCTGTAGCTGTCAGAATTTGCCACATCTGTCACTCTTAGGAATTCGGAAGTTCAACGTGCCTGAAGCCTGAAGAGTGGGTGTCCATGTCATGTCGTGACTTCATGCCGTGACTTCACGATCATGCCGGCTATGTGTTGCCATGCATTGCCACAGCATCCGTGGATGTCTGAAGCCTCTCCGAGCCAAGTGGCTTTGGCTCTGGGCAGGCCGATGCGGCCGAGCGGATCTGGAGAATGGCTCGCACGATGTAAGCGGCCTTAGGACGTGCTGTGACGAAGGTCCGCTGACTTTCATTCAATTTCCAGGATCCTCTGTGGAGGAAGCTCTTCAACCCCTTGACCCCTTGTGCCCAGAACCAGACTGCTGTGTGTTTGAGACAAGAAAATGCTTTGACTCATCAATAACGTAGCGCAGCATTCATGATTCCAAGATGTAGCTCACATCTACATCATCTACATTTCCCATAGACTGAACGCCTTGCAAAGATCAGAAACGACTTGCCAGCCAACCCAGCCAAGCTGCCGCGTTGGTCACATCTGCGACGACGCACTGGGTGAGGTCAAAGGCACGGTTTCGGTCCGCCTGGGTCGCCAGATCGTGATAGAGAATACTTGAAGTGTTTATGAAACCAACCGCGCCACACTCTAATTATCTCTAATTCGTCATTCCCCCAAGCAGTTCCTCAATGTCCAACTATCAAGCTTGGCTCAGTTTCGACTAGAAAATTTATGTGTCCAACGCGGGTTGGATAGCGCCCACAAAGTCACAGAGTTGTTCAAGATCCGCAAGCTAAGCCCAGCACAGTTCGAAGCGCATCGACCTTCTGGACAGTCTCAACTGTGGGCATAGCACCAGCGGGGACGAAAGTCTTCCATCCTGGTCCTCATCCAAGAGAGAATGTGGCAACCGTTCTATCACAACTCTTCTCAAGATGGTGCAACATAGACAGAGTGACATACCGGGAACATCCGACAACTACCATGAGTGAGGCGCAACTGTGTCACTTTGATTTCCTTATTTTATCTTATTTTCATGTAGAATGCTTCCACGCTCACACATGCTCATATCATCTCACATCTAGCACCAACTGTCCTGCATCATCAGTGCCAGTGATCTTGAGGAGAGCAAGCCAGTCCTTATTGAAGTCGCAGTCCTCCTTCACAGCCGCTCCTACAGTGGCCATTTCACCGAAGTTGGCCATCAAAGCAGTCCAGTCGCCAGCACAAAGGGCACCAGAGTTCACCGCTGCACCGCATGCATTTGCTGCGAAGGACAGGTAGGAGGCAATCCAAGTCACTGAGGTGATGAAACCCGCAATACTGGCAGCACAACCCGCTGGAGAATTGTCTGGGCATCGAATTCCATCATATTTGATGGCCTTGTAAAGGAAGACCACAGCCTGGCCCAAGTAAGCAGCTCCCTGAACCACATCAATGACGCACTCGGTGCGGATCCAAGGAAGCTCCTCCGGCTGAGATTCGTAGAAGAGGTCGTTGAGATTTCGCAACGGCTGCTTCAATTCCAAGGTCTTGGCGTGCTCCACCACCTGGTCGATTCCAGGGATCTGCTCCCATTCCTGGACAGTGTTGATGTCGAAGTTCTTGGACTGCAGCAAGGTCTCAGGTGAGCGGTACACAACCTTGGCAGCCACTCCAAGCACCACAAGCAGGGCAAGGCCGGCACCAGCAAGGTACCAGTGCCTTGGTTTGGCGCTGGGACTTTCTGGGATTTCCTCCAACAGCATCTCCTGGCCTTCTTCAGTTGCAAGCTGCATGTGCTCCGCCATGATTCCGAGTGCAGAAGTGCGGAGTCGTCACAGAACTGAAGCCAAAATGTGCTGCGGTGTGCTCGGCTTTTTAATGCCCTTGGTGTTTGGCACATTTTGGTGTCAGATATCTTCAAACCTATTGGCTCATTATGCTCATTGTGGCCGAAGGTGAATGCAAAAAAAAACGCTTCAATAAATTCAATCAAATCATGACACAGCGGACCTACTCCGCAACCCAGCTCAATCGCTCAAAGTTTCTCCCAATAAGTGGAGGTTCTCAATGATCAAGTCCGACCAACTGCTCGTTCGAGCAAGGTGGCAACAGGTGGCAACAGGTGGCAACAGGTGGCAACAGGTGGCAACAGGTGGCAACAGGTGGCAACATAGTGTTGGGTTGAAAAGAAGTTGCATCAAGGTCAAAACAGATGATAACAGCTTTCGCTCAATCTGTCCCGGCCAATCAGCAGGTCCAGTCTCCAACTGGTACAATTCAAGAGGGAACATCCCTGGCTAAGTACGCCTCCAATGATTTGGAAGAAAACAGAAAAGGCCGCTACAAAGTCGAGATCCTACCTCATGTCAAGTTCCGTGGCAAACCATGAAATTGGTATCAAGAAGACAGGCCAGGACTTAGTCCATTGGCAAGTGCTTCTCCTCTTCAAGCGGGTCTGGCATGTCTGCACAATCCTCAGGAACAAGTGCAAAGCCATGCAGTATTCAAGCACGCATTCCAAGTCCACAATCCCGAAGAGTCCAGAAATCAAGAACAACAGGTCTCACGGGGTCTCACAGTCTCTCACGATCTCTCTCCAGAATCTGTGAACATCTTTCTGCAACTGAGTGACGGAGGTGGTTGCGATGCCTGCCGCAGGACCGTTCGTCACTGCTGCAACCATGTCCTTAGATCAATAGACCCAAGTCCAGTCTGGCAGGCTGACAGACTGGCAGCGACCTGCATTAAACAGAAAGTTGGTGCGCCATGTTCCAGCCATCAAAAACATTCAATAAAAAATTGAAAGATAGCAACAGTAACTAGTCTCTGTGTGACCACACTCTCGCTATCGCGCTGGAGTCTGGACACATCTTTTGACTCAACTCTTCAAAAGAACCGAAACCACAAAATCCTCGAAGTCATTTGCAACCTACGAAAATTGGCTGATAATGGGTGATCATCTTTGAATGCATGCAAGCTGCAGAGATGTCGGCCGCGCACAAGGCCTTCTGACTTCCCTTGTCCCAGCAGTCAGACACAGCCAGCGACCTGGGTTTGATCCATCTGTCACAAGATTCCACAAACGCTGGTGTATTCTCAAGGAGACGTGGATATTGATGGAACTTGTCTATTGTTAGGTCTATTCAGTCTATTGTCAGGTCAGGTCTTCATAGTGCAAACAGATACCTGACCTCCCTGAACCCCTTGTTGGCAATGCTTTAGAGTAGCTAATGCACCTCATGCTTCTGATGCACTGATCTTACATACAGGTACAGTACTGCTGGGAGACCACGACAAACAATGTTTGGCTGCCAGCAATGTGAATGACCCCCAACTGTGAGAGCCAAGTGGCGTGAACTGGGAGATCCATGCAAACGAGGAGATGATATTCATGATGTTAATGGCACAGGCCCTGTAGCTGTCAGAATTTGCCACATCTGTCACTCTTAGGAATTCGGAAGTTCAACGTGCCTGAAGCCTGAAGAGTGGGTGTTCATGTCATGTCGTGACTTCATGCCGTGACTTCACGATCATGCCGGCTATGTGTTGCCATGCATTGCCACAGCATCCGTGGATGTCTGAAGCCTCTCCGAGCCAAGTGGCTTTGGCTCTGGGCAGGCCGATGCGGCCGAGCGGATCTGGAGAATGGCTCGCACGATGTAAGCGGCCTTAGGACGTGCTGTGACGAAGGTCCGCTGACTTTCATTCAATTTCCAGGATCCTCTGTGGAGGAAGCTCTTCAACCCCTTGACCCCTTGTGCCCAGAACCAGACTGCTGTGTGTTTGAGACAAGAAAATGCTTTGACTCATCAATAACGTAGCGCAGCATTCATGATTCCAAGATGTAGCTCACATCTACATCATCTACATTTCCCATAGACTGAACGCCTTGCAAAGATCAGAAACGACTTGCCAGCCAACCCAGCCAAGCTGCCGCGTTGGTCACATCTGCGACGACGCACTGGGTGAGGTCAAAGGCACGGTTTCGGTCCGCCTGGGTCGCCAGATCGTGATAGAGAATACTTGAAGTGTTTATGAAACCAACCGCGCCACACTCTAATTATCTCTAATTCGTCATTCCCCCAAGCAGTTCCTCAATGTCCAACTATCAAGCTTGGCTCAGTTTCGACTAGAAAATTTATGTGTCCAACGCGGGTTGGATAGCGCCCACAAAGTCACAGAGTTGTTCAAGATCCGCAAGCTAAGCCCAGCACAGTTCGAAGCGCATCGACCTTCTGGACAGTCTCAACTGTGGGCATAGCACCAGCGGGGACGAAAGTCTTCCATCCTGGTCCTCATCCAAGAGAGAATGTGGCAACCGTTCTATCACAACTCTTCTCAAGATGGTGCAACATAGACAGAGTGACATACCGGGAACATCCGACAACTACCATGAGTGAGGCGCAACTGTGTCACTTTGATTTCCTTATTTTATCTTATTTTCATGTAGAATGCTTCCACGCTCACACATGCTCATATCATCTCACATCTAGCACCAACTGTCCTGCATCATCAGTGCCAGTGATCTTGAGGAGAGCAAGCCAGTCCTTATTGAAGTCGCAGTCCTCCTTCACAGCCGCTCCTACAGTGGCCATTTCACCGAAGTTGGCCATCAAAGCAGTCCAGTCGCCAGCACAAAGGGCGCCAGAGTTCACCGCTGCACCGCATGCATTTGCTGCGAAGGACAGGTAGGAGGCAATCCAAGTCACTGAGGTGATGAAACCCGCAATACTCGCAGCACAACCTGCTGGAGAATTGTCTGGGCATCGAATTCCATCATATTTGATGGCCTTGTAAAGGAAGACCACAGCCTGGCCCAAGTAAGCAGCTCCCTGAACCACATCAATGACGCACTCGGTGCGGATCCAAGGAAGCTCCTCCGGCTGAGATTCGTAGAAGAGGTCGTTGAGATTTCGCAACGGCTGCTTCAATTCCAAGGTCTTGGCGTGCTCCACCACCTGGTCGATTCCAGGGATCTGCTCCCATTCCTGGACAGTGTTGATGTCGAAGTTCTTGGACTGCAGCAAGGTCTCAGGTGAGCGGTACACAACCTTGGCAGCCACTCCAAGCACCACAAGCAGGGCAAGGCCGGCACCAGCAAGGTACCAGTGCCTTGGTTTGGCGCTGGGACTTTCTGGGATTTCCTCCAACAGCATCTCCTGGCCTTCTTCAGTTGCAAGCTGCATGTGCTCCGCCATGATTCCGAGTGCAGAAGTGCGGAGTCGTCACAGAACTGAAGCCAAAATGTGCTGCGGTGTGCTCGGCTTTTTAATGCCCTTGGCACTTTTGGTCTGAGATCTGATAAGATTGTGCATCATTCTTTGGTTGCTGTGGCCCTTGAACTTGGACGAGCAAAGCCGGGGGGCCATGCCCTTCAAGCTGCGCCTCCAGAGTCCCGTTGTCTGGTGCGTGGCAAGGCAAACTGGACATCGCCCTGGCAGGTGATGATCGGCTGCTACTCTTGGAGCAATGAAACCATTGAAAACTTACATGGCTAACATTGGCTAACAGGCTCTAGATAAATCCGGCCCGAAGAAACCTGCAGCTCTACCATTCATTGCTTGGCCTTCATATGCTTGGGCGGTCAAGTTTGGACCACGACAGGGCACCTTCTGGAGTGAGCAGGAAATCTGCTACCGCCTTCCAAATGACCTGCCAACTCTGTTACTGACGGTTACTGTCCATCAGTAGCACGACTGCACAGTGTGGCGGCATTGGGTGCCTGCAACAGATTTCTCGAGAGCCAAATGAACCAAATTCTGTAAACAACGTTCCAGTAAATAGCACGAACACGTCCTGCTGGGTGATTGCAGGTGATCACCACCACAGATCGCCCCGGCTTTCATGGTCACCTCAAGCAGCTGAGAAAGATTGCCCTGACGGAAGCTCAAGTCCTGCCACAAGAGAAGCAGTTCTTCAAACATGTTCAAACTGCAACGACCGCTTCCTGCTCAGTGGCATCTCCTTGAGCAGCCGAGGTAAGAGTTCGCGTGTAGCAAAGCAAGGTGGTGCAAGCCTTGGAAACAGCACACCGTGCAAAGCCAGGCATAGAGGAAAAAATGAAAAAAACATATAATGTAACATATAATGCAACATATAATGACACATATAATGACATATACCCCTCTGTACAGATCCAACAGCGATCGGCTGCGTTTGAGACTACCTGCTTTTTTCTCTTGCAAATGCAGCATAATGTAATATGATTAATATGATGTATCTTGGTCTCCTAACCTGTTTATATCGGCTTGGTCGAAGCGGACCAGGTGAGCACTGCTCAAGGATACCTCCACACGGAAAGGGATTAGAAACCCCACACCCACACACAGTCTTTGGCACATGCACTTTCAATTACAAGGGCCAACCTCCTTTCCCAATGTGTCCAAGGGAAAGGCCTTAGTCTGACTGTGATGTCGGAAACCGCAAACAAAAATTTCCTTCTTTCTGTTTTGTTAGATACCAGTTTGCTGACATCACCCGGAATGGATGACCTTTCAGTTGATGAGTACCAGCAGTGACACACAACATTCTCTCTCATCCCATTTCTGCAAGAACCAAGGTAACAAAAGTAACTACAGGGAACCAAGGTAAGCAAGGCCATCACCAAGCTCAACAATACCGGCATCTCCAGCTCAAGCCCAAGCCTTGAAGGCCCAGGCATCAACCACTTGCTCAACGACACGGAATTCGGCTATCGGTTCTGCAAATGTCCAGTCATGTCCGTTCCCGGATCAGGATGTACTCTTGGGTTGCAGATTTGTTTCTCGGAAACCACCAGTCTATCTCTAGATTTCTCTGCCTTTGGCATCAGAGACTTCTGTGTGTAATCGCCACAGTGGAAGCCTGTGCCTGTAGAGACTTCGAGCCCCAGCATGCTTTCGTCAGGTGTCTGCTTTCGCATGCTGACGATCCAGCTGTCAATGATGGCATCACGGCTTCCAAACTCTCGATTAGCTATCCGCTCTTGAGATGACGATGGGCGGGCATCTCACTCGTGCTCGAAGCCAAACCACCAAATCCTGAGCAGAGGACATGCCTGCACAGATCATGTGCACATCTGCAATGATACAATACAAATCAATACAAGCTCACTGTCTGATCTCTTCCAAATCATTCTGAGTCTGCTGCACAGAGCCAATGCCACCAGCCATGAAGATTAAGAAAACTGTCCTGGACACTGCGGTAAACCTCAGCAATGGGAGGCAAGATTGCTTCTTGCTTTCATCCCCGAAAAAGAACACCAAACCAAACGTTGTGAAATTCCAGCGCACAAGTGTAGACGGGAAGATTTAGCTCGGATCCAGGCTCATCTTCCACCCATTGCTCGTCCCAGCTCTGCAGCAAAAATTCGAAGACAGCTGAGATGCTTGTTGATTTGGACAATCCACAAACACTCTAAGGGGACATAATGGACATATATAATTAATGATTGCACTTGCACAAGACAAGGTGGGAATTATGAAAGTTCAACGACCTTGTCAATGGACGAACTCAGCATACAACACGCATGTGTTTGAGCCCACGCTTGAAGTTGACCATGATACCCTGACAGCCTCATTAGCTTCATCCATGGTGTTCTTCTTCACTTCCAAGTCCTGGAGACAAGGAATCAACGGCTGAGGTTCGATGTATACTTCAATTCTCAGTTTCAAATTTCCCGTTCACAACCATCAGTTGCCAGCCAATGGTCCTGCAAATCATCCGCATCTTTCTCTAGGGCCTGTAGAAGCCGTTAAGAAACATTGCAAAAAGTTCTTGGGTGCCCAAAACTGGAATAGTTAAAGATGCCCCAGATCAAGGAAACTGGGGTTCAATGTTTGATCCATTCTCAAGTCGAGAAATCAGATGATTCTAGTTATCATATGCATAGTATGCATAGACTATAGAATGATTATGAATGATTTATACATCATCTGGATATCTCAGCGGATTCCCAAAATGTCCTATGAGAGGAGCCGCAATCCACGGCTAACCATAGAGCACCTCCAGAAGCATGGCGCGGCCCCCATCATCAATGAGAAGTTCGTAAGCCAAGGAGATGCGACGGAAGCCTCAGGGAAATGGTGATGGTATTACAAAGTCAGCTACTTTCTGTTTCACATGTTTGAAAATACAAAAACAATCAAAAGCATATGGGCTACTGGTATTGGTTAACCGTTAACCCCAATATCAAAAGAGTCAAAAGATGTCGAAAGATAGCCAGGCGAATGGACACTGAGCCGGCAGCGTTCTTCAGCGTCCTCAGCCACGCGAAGACCAGAAGAATTTCGACTTCTGACTTTGAAGAATTACAGCTGATCTTCTGTGATGTTGCTTGAAGAAGAAGATTGATGGTGACTTGGGGACAACGATCAACCGATGAGTAAAGTCGTGGTGCTTCCAAATAAGCCGTGAACCTCTCGGTCTGAGACATCAGGATGCTCAACCCTGCAACGGGAAACATCAAGGATGTGATGATGTCCAACTGACAAACACCAATATTGCCAAATGATCTTTGGACTTGTTGGTAAAGTGGAATTAGCAGAGGTTGGTGCAAAAAGCGACATGCATGAATTAGATTGAATTAGCCTCTAGATTGATATCTTTGTCTAGAGTCTAGATATGTCTAGATGTTCCCCTTGAGGCCCGTGGGCCTTGCCACTTGGCGGAAAGCTGCGCGGATTTCCTTCTTGGGGCATTCCGGATCGTCCAATCCGAGCAATTCAAAGGGCTCCTCGAACTTTCCATCGAACTCCTGCGAAGGAGCTGAGACAGATCACAAAAGAACATCATTCACATTATGCAACAACTCAATCCATCCCTCACGCCAAGTTGAACCATAGGACATACGCTAAGTTGAACCATGGGCTGCTCTTTAATTTTCACTTCATCTATCTTTATCTACGTAAGTTTACATAGTTCTTCTTCCACTTGTAAGTTCATTCTCAGTCCAATTTCTCCTTCAACGCGTCCAGCACAGTCTGAGTAGCGCCAGATGCACCAAGCCGCGTCCGGCTTGTGCGTGGCGACGTGCTGATCGAAGATCGGAGGAAGCTTGGTCCACCCACAAGCCTCAGGTGAAAATAGGTGAAAATGCTGTGAGAATGTCTCAGGATGAAAAATGAAGCTTTCCAAGTTTTCCCTGTCCAAATGTCCAAATATGTGCAAAGTTCAAGACTTGTCTTAGGGTAGTGATATGTCTAAATCATCTCTGTCTATGATGCTGGACTACAAGCATCTATATTCAGGCTGTGGCCACCCAAGCGCCAGCAGCGGAAGCAACGCGCTGCATCGCCGCATGGCTGTTGCGGGTTGTGAACAGAAACGGATTTGCAGAACGCCAAACTTTGGTGGCCGCTGAGAATTTGGACATGATGTTTGAGTTGAGAATCTTATGTTTAAGTCAGAATTGGATTGGGACCTCTTCTTGTTGCATGACCTTTGCCTACGTGGACACTGTTTAGAGAAATGTCAAACCGTTCACTTCAATGAACTGAGAACAAGCTTGGAGGCAAATCTCAAGTTCTTGCCTTAGATCCTTAGGATATATGTAAACTATATATTATATATACACATATACATACAGACAAGTATGTATAGGTATGTATGTACATGCTTACATCAGCCACAAACAACTGCAGTGGCGCACTGGCAAAGATGGCCGAAATGTGCACCACATCTCAAACCTATCTGAAGGTCTGAAAGTCCAAGTGCCAAAAAAAGATTTGAAGGATTTGGGTTCAATGAATGTCATGCAGGATATTGGAACCTGGATAACAATCATGTGAGAGCTACACACGTTGAGAAAGCCCTGTGTTCTAACTCTCGACTCCACTTTGAGGGTCCAACTGCATGCAAGAGCTCCCCTTCCAAAAAACAGCACAATCGCATGACCATCGTATGGCTTTATGACTTTGTATCCAACAGATCCAACAGATCCAACGGATCCAACGCATCCAACAGTGGACCGGGCATGACGTTGGCCCCTGCTCCAGGCCCTCCATGCCTGCTGTGTCCATCTCAATTGAACCAGGCCAAGAGAAGGCTCAAATTGCACCTCTGCTGCGCTACAACGACGGCTTTTGACCATCGCAAGTGTTGCAAGTCTGCTGCTTTCAACGAGTATGCTGCACTTGAACAAACACAAGTAGCGCAACAGAGATCATACGAGTCAACCGCAATCGCACAAACAAAATAAACAAAGCATTCCGTGTTTGATGAGTGGATTCCAAATCGGTCACCACAGCATGCTATGTCTTGATTGGTTCCACACGATGGATCTTGGCTGCTCAAAATCACGCTCACATTCCAATGTTTGGAAGGTCCTCGTCAGACAGGCTGGAGTCTCTCAGCGCTGCATCAACCTCCAGACAAGATAGACAAGAAGAACTAGAAGTTGTTTGAAAGACCCGATTGATCTGCAAAGATCTCGAAGTTCATTCAGTTCAAGGGGCATCGTCCAACCGTGACTCCCCCCTTGTAGGGTCTTGTTATGTTTTGCTGCGCTGGGCTATACAACTTCTCAGCCCTCAGCTGACAACGACAAGCTGCGCCTCCGTCGTCGATGGCACCACTGACTCCAAGAGCCTTTCACCTAGACTCTTCGGTGGAATCACGAAACAGCTGCGACTTCTTTGTTCACCGTTTTCAGGTGTTCATTGTTCATTGCCACTCAACTGCCTTTCAAGATCTTTCAAGAATAAAGTGGTTACAGTAGCAGTTGCTCTGAAGCACCTGGCCGAAATCTCTTGGGATCTGCCACCGTTGGCAAAGTGCCACCAAAGGCTGCGCAGGAATGGTCGAATCGTCCCCAGTTCCCACTTGATATTTGATTCATCAATGATGTTCATTGAAAGCAATTGTGCACACTGAAGATCACCCGAGTTTGCGTTTGGGGAAGGCGACCTGACATCAGGTGCTGCAGTGTTGTGCTCTGCCGAGCATGAAGGCTGTGAAGCGAACCCTAGCAAATCTAGCAAGTAGACTGCATACCAATCCAAACCAGAAATGTCTGGCAATATCTGGAAGGACGCTTTAGCCAGACCTGCTGTTCCAAGCATTCCGATAGCTCAGAACGCCACAAAAAACGGGTGCTATGCCTACACAACAAATGTAAGTGCAATAATTGTGGAAATGCATAATTCAAGATAATGTGTCATGATGTTTCTGCAGTTTGAAGGAGCCTCAAGCGGAGAGTGTGACAAACTGATACGGACATAAATTTGCTACGGGATTATTTCCATGAAAACGGAAAGGCGGGAAAGATTCAACCAATCAAAGTGGCTTCAGTACAGGGTATCGTTTGTCAATGGACTCTGTCCAAATAGTATCACGGCCCGTGAGCACAGAGGATATGGACAACTCAAGGAAGAAAACCTGTCGGATTGAATCAGAAATAGATAAATTAACTGTTTACAAATCAACTAACTACGTGAACCTATCTAGGACCTATCTTTTGATGAGTCATGGCAACTTAAACTGCAAGATTCATGATCAACAACATTGAGCACTTGCATGAATTGTGTGCTTAAAATCTCCACCCACCGCCACCTCCTCCCTTCGAGGACTTGGGCTGAGAAGATCCAAAATCTAGCCACACAAAGGTGCTGAGGTCCGCTGAGATCGTTTGTTGTTTGACGCACCAAACCGGTGTACACAAGGAGCCTCACCCATGGGCAGAAGCCGGTCTGCCAGTGTGTTGTTGATATTTGCCAGCCATTCATCCAAAGCCTCATCTTCCTGCCACTGCACCACTATGGCTGGATGGGTGCCGCTTCGCTTTAAGCTCGGTATATCGCATGTCTACAAGTATCAATTTGTATCACATTCGGGCACAAAAAAATTGAACTGAGTTGTTACTACAATTCACAACGATGTCTCAAAATTGTGAACCTTCTGCACTTCACCTTCACATTTCAATCTATTAGCATCTGCATCTTTGCATGTATAACAACATATAACAACATGTTTATACTATATAGAGATATATATATATATTATAGACAATATATATATATGTATATACATATATATATGTATATATATATATGTATGTATAGATGTATAGGTGTGTATATATATAGAGATATAGAGATATAGAGATATAGAGATATAGAGACATAGAGAGATAGGGATATAGAGATATAGAGATATAGAGATATAGAGATATAGAGGTATAGAGATATAGATATATAGAGATATAGAGATATAGAGATATAGAGATATAGAGATGTAGAGATATAGAGATATAGAGATATAGAGATATAGATAGAGATATAGAGATATAGAGATTTAGGGATATAGAGATTTAGGGATATAGAGATTTAGGGATATAGAGATATAGAGATATAGAGATATATAGATTTAGAGATAGAGGTAGAGATAGGGAGATAGAGATAGAGATAGAGAGATAGAGAGATAGAGATAGAGATATAGAGATAGAGATATAGAGATATAGAGATATAGAGATATAGAGATATAGAGATATAGAGATAGAGATAGAGATAAAGACAGAGACAGAGAAAGAGATAGAGATAAGATAGAGATATAGATAGAGATAGAGATAGATTAGATTATATTCTATTCTATTAGATTAGATAAGATAGATAGATAGAAGATAGACAGACAGACAGATAGATGGATATATGTGTGTATATATATATATACACGTAGATAAAGATATCCGCCTACCCTGCCATCAGCAGAGGGAGTGTGTCAGAGAAGAGATAATAGAAAAGAGGAGTCGTTCAGCGGCGTGTTTGGCCAAGCAAGGTTCCCAAGTCCCAAGCAAGCTCAAGCAAGCTTCTGGACCTGCTGTTGTTTATCGATAAGAGTCGCAGGATGAACTGCAGAGAGGGAACCGTCTGGCCAAAAAGAGCGAAGCACTTGTTGCAATCTAGTGATTGTAGCGCAAATTCACCAGCATTAGATAACAACTTGAAGGCGTCGCCAACATGCGAACAAAATAAGCACCCAACAAAAGCAGTTTCATCTTTGAAAAACATGGTTTCCACATGAGTCGCAGATCTGGACCAATCAAGCAAAACCGAGGTGGGTAACACAATAAATTGAGATTGAAAAACTCGTAAGCCACAAAAGGTCATAGAAAACACCATCGCGGTGCACCAACTTCTGAAGGAAAATGTTGCAAGAGCTCAGGCCATGTCAATGCGCGCATTGCCCTGTCTTGACTGTGTCAGTGCCAAAAGATTGTAAATCACAACATGTTTCACCCTCTTTGCCCTCTTTGATCTTATATCTTTATCTTGTTGAAGTTTGAAGGTTTAAAAAATATGTGTGAACGGTTTTTCCCAAACTCAAGGAACTCTGCAAACGGGCAGTATTTTCGCCACTTTCGGGTGCTTGAAGTGTGGTATTCACGCATTTCTTGGCACTGACAGCGGGAAAAATTGGAAATTACACGGCTGTGTGTGTGTGTGTTTAAACCTATTTGGGTTTCCAAACTTCAAACAGCTGCTATCACACGTTCTTCCTGTTCTTCAACAAGGCACACAACAAAAACGTGTCTCTTCTCTGTCCCTTACTTGAGTGAGTAGCTGTTTTTTCATCTACAGCCTCAAACATACCTTCTCAGTGATATACCCAATAAACAAAAATGAAAGGCACCAATATTGAACAAAGCTTTCACAATTGTTCCCCAAAACAATGGAAAGAACATGTCTCAGTATACTAGTAGAACAAGTTCCTTCAGAAATTGTAGCAAAAAAATGCAGAACATGTTTCTAGAACAGGTCCCCAACCAAATGGAAGCATTCGATTTCAAGTCCAACCTGTGATGAGGTGACAACTCACCTGCGCGGAAACAAAACGTCAACCGGTGCGGCGGAGCCGACGATGAGCGCCAGCTCCAAACATATACGTGTGGATATATGTGTATATTATATATACACCTATATAATACATGCCAGCATCTGATGTTCACCGCGACGATCACCCGCTGGCCGCAGTCCTCTTCTGATTCTGCGCTGATGAAAACCTGCAGCACCCAAAGCACTGCCAAGCTGCTCAGAGGTCAAAGCCATACAGTGTTGTATGGAGAAGATTCCAGAAGATATGTGCAACTGTCAAGTTTCAACATTGATTTGGGCATCACGTCATGTCCAAATCATGCCTTTTTGAGAATCCACTCGCACTCAGCCGTTTCTGCAATTCTGGAGAGCGGAGACCAAAGGTTCCACTCTTCTGTTTCAAAAATGCCGCAGACTGCAACAAGGGAAAATGTGCCACCATAAAAAGAGAGCCAACAAGGGAAAACATACATGGCCCTGGTCTTTTGCTCTTAGACGATGCAGCAAGACTCAAGTAGCATAAGCCCCACAGAGGCGAAACAACACTGTACAAAAAGAATTAAGCTCAGCTCGGTCAGCTCAGGCTCAATTGCATGGCACAAATCTTGCAGCTCAGCTCGCAGTGAATTAATTTGGACGAGTGATGCTGTGGCTACGGTGGCTACGGATCGTGCTACCAGGAACCTGCAGAGTCAAGTGCAGAGTCAAGCCAGTAGCTACGGACATCATGAGGATTGCCCACACAGTGCCCAGTGATGGACCAGTGGCAGAAACCACAGCTGAAGTTATTTCGGCTGCATTTCGAAGCATGTTTGCAGGGAAACATGTTGCACCAACTGCACGGGATCTGACCCAAATAAGGACAATTTGAATCATGGTCTGCAGCTGGCTTCCAACACAAGGCACAAAACTCACGACGTCGATCAATTGGTGCAACTAGAGCCTGCCACAGGCATCTCTGGTGCCCATTCTTATGAAAACAACGGCCTTGATCTCCCCACTGCTGAATATCGATGATCTTTACATCTGTTAGATCGAAGATCCACATCCAGAGTGGCGTTGGATACGGAGGAGAGTCTTCATCTATCGCGCCCTCAATCCCGGCCACCTTTTCCAAGCGTTGCAGAGGCAAGCTGGCTAAATCTCCCGGAGCCTCTGCCTTTCTCTCCTCAGTAGTCTCGACTTCATTGTGGTCTGCCTGGTCTGCCTGGTCTGCCTCACTCCGGTCAGACCAATGTGGTCGTGACAGTTTGCCTCAATTTCAATCTCTTTCGAGCTGCGGGTCGCATCTCTGCAGAGTTGACTTGAGCCAATCTTGCAGTTGCCACATGTTGGACATGACCTGTCTCCAAAGCATTTCAATCATGTCAGAACGTCAGGTGCATTTCAAACCTATCTGCAAAGAAAAAGGACACCTCTCTTGGCCAAGGGCACTTGTATCATGGATCATCATGGATCATCATGGCCCATGTGAAGAGTTCTTGATGCTATCGCCTGGGCGCGACCATCACGCCAATTCTCGGCCACCAGCCGCAAGGCACGGGAGGCGGAGCCAGGCAGTACTCTGAACCTCGGCAGGTCCGACGTGGAGGCCAAATGAGGCCAATGCCAATCTACGGTGGGATCATTTTTTTGATTCTCTGCTTGCAAAGGACATATACACTTTCTAAATATGTATGCATATGTACATACACAACATGGATGCGTTTGCTCGCCCACAACGACAGCTGTTACTCTGGCTCTACAGGTTCCTACTCATAAATAATTTCGGTCTACCTCGGACAAGCCTGACTCTCTGCAGACTGGCGTTGTCGGTCGGTTATCGTAGGGAACATGTCTAGAGGTTCTATTGAGAAACCCAATGTGTTCTTGAAGAGAACGAAGAGATGTGTTGGTCTGCTGCTGTGGCAGTTAGTGAAGTACTAGATTTCCTACTGCTTACATACTGAATCCGTGCTGCAGAATTTAAACCCGCTGTCATTTTCCTGGTTGCCTTGACAACAAGTTTAAACTCAAATCCAGAAGTGTGCAAAAAGAAACATGCATTGAATTATCTTTGGCCCGCTTTCCGGGCTAATGCCAAATGTACAGAATCTATGTCTGAATGCTCCTCCGAACCAGAGGATCTCCAAGATCCACAAAATGGATAGGAAAGTGTCACTTTGGAGTGCTTTCAAAGGCAGAACATACCCTGGTGTTTCCAGGATCTCAGCATGAGCTGATCTTGCTGACGTTTGTCAGCCTGCAAGACTCCAGTTTGCAGGGGCAGGCTGCATTCCTTGATGCCTTAGGTTCGGCTGGCGATCCTTCGGCTACAGAAAAGAACAAATAAATATCGAGGGGACCACAAAAAATAAAGTCCACATTATGCTTTTGAGATCAAAAACATGGGTTGCATCGGTTGCATTCGCACCATGCTACCGCGATTTCACTGCTATTAATTGGCACCCAGGTACTGAAAGTGGTTCTGCGAGGTCATCCCCTGCATATTTGCTCGGGATATGTAAGGTTGCCTCTCAAGCATGAAACGCTGGCAACGTTCGAAGTAGGGATCAGGATACAGAGGCAGCTGTAATGAAGATCCAGTTCCTGAATTAGTGGCCGGAATAGCCTATTGCTAGAGAGGAAGAATAGTGACACGAATGTTATAGTAACTTGGGTGAAATCCGTTATTCTGTTCTCTAAAATTGGGAAGCGCGTACAACTTCGAGATAGAGAATGCATGAGAATGATGAGAATGTATGATGTCGGAGACATTGGTTCAGATATTCACAAACCGGGAGCACGACCAAACTGCACACCTTGGAGCAAGTGGCCAGACCATCTCGGCGGGGTAGACTGCGCAACCATGGATCTCAATGTCCTGTCGATGTCCTTAGTACTTGCTCCACCAGATTTCAACATTAACTTGAGAATGTTGCTGCATTGTTAGGCAATGTGTCACCTAGGTAGCAAGCAGCAAAATAGAGGTGACACATGGCAATCCATGGCAGACCCCTCACGCCACCGGCAACGGATATATAAGTTATTCCCACATCAGACGGAAAGGAAAAGATTCAATGCAGGCATTCGGCAAGTGAGAGATACAATATGTATAGAAGATCGATAGCTACGTAAATAAGACTTGATTCTATATACAAGAGACCACTCCCTCTGTCCTGGAGCATGTCCGAGAAGGGGTTTGTGTTTTTTTCAGTCTGGGGCAGTTTTCCTTGCTATTTGCTGCATTTTGGAGCTCAAATCTCTGATTTGCGTGCTATTTGCTGCGTTTTGGAGCTAAAATCTTTCATTTGCATGCTATTTGCATTTCGGAGCTAAAATCGCAAATTTTGGGAGCTAAAAACGCAAATTTGGACGATATGTGTAACATTTTGGTTGTCACCCATTTTCCCATGGTTTTCAATGATGTCTGGATGGTTTTCCTCAATTTCTTGATAGTCTTAGACTTCAGTGATTTTTCCATGGTTTCAAAGATTTGTCTATGTTTTTTTTGTCGTTTTTTCCATTGTGTTTCTCAACTTCTTGGACGGTCATAGCAGAATGACAATACTTATTCTCACATGCAATGCTGTAGGTTCAATGTGGTACTCTGGGTGTATGCAATGCACAACATGCACCTTCTGAACAAGTTGAGGCACAAGCATGTTGGGTCTGAATACAGTAGTTTCAATGGATGTTATCATAGCGTTGGCTTAGGATTTTTTCAGGGTTGGTTTAGGATTGATTTAGGGTTGGTTTCGGGTTCATTCCCCACATCTTTGTGTGGGGTTCTTGTTTTTGGTTCTGTATCCCGCCGCCTCCGTCCGCTTCCGTCCGCCTTCCGCCTCCCGCCGCACTCATCACACAACTTGCTCACACACAACTTGTCCTCACACAACTTGCTCACACACAACTTGTCCTCATCAACTTGTCATCACACAACTTGTCCTCACACAACTTGCTCACACACAACTTGTCCTCACACAACTTGCTCACACACAACTTGTCCTCACCAACTTGTCATCACACAACTTGTCCTCACACAACTTGCTCACACACAACTTGTCCTCACCAACTTGTCATCACACAACGTGTCGTCACCAACCACACACCTTGTCCTGACACAACTTGTCCTCACACATCTTGTCATCACACATCTTGTCATCACACAACTTGCTGACACACACTTTGCTCACACACACCTTGTCCTCACCAACTTGTCATCACACAACTTGCTCACACACACCTTGTCCTCACCAACTTGTCCTCACACAACTTGTCTACACACAACTTGCCCTCACACACACCTTGTCCTCACCAACTTGTCCACACACAACTTGTCCACACACAACTTGCCCTCACACACATAACTTTGCGTGGCAGGCGTGGCGCTTGGTGACATCGACCTTCACTTTGCGTGGCAGGCGTGGCACTTATGGCATTGGGCTGGCTCTGGTGGCGCGCTTGGGTCTCAGTTGACGCCGTGGACGCTGCGGCTTTTGGCGTGGCAGGCGTGGCACTTGGTGACATGGACCTTCACTTTGCGTGGCAGGCGTGGCACTTGGTGACATGGATCGTCACTTTGCGTGGTAGGCGTGCCACTTATGGCACTAGACTGGCTCTGGTGGCGCGCTTGGGTCTCAGTTGACGCCGTGGACGCCGTGGCTTTTGGCATGGCAGGCGTGGCACTCGGTGACATGGATCACTTTGCGTGGCACGCGTGGCACTTGGTGACATGGATCGTCACTTTGCGTGGCAGGCGTGGCACTAATGGCATTGGGCTGGCTCTGGTGGCGTGCTTGGGACGCCGCGGCTTTTGGCGTGGCAGGCTTGGCACTTGGTGACATGGACCTTCGCTTTGCCCGGCAGGCATGGCACTTGGTGACATGGATCGTCACTTTGCGTGGCAGGCGTAGCACTTATGGCACTGGGCTGGCTCTGGTGGCGCGCTTGGGTCCCAGTTGACGCCGTGGACGCCGTGGCTTTTGGCGTGGCAGGCGTGGCACTTGGCGACATCCAGCGTCGATTCTGCGTGGCAGGTGCGGCACTTGGCGACATGTACGTGCATTCTGCGTGGCACATGTGGTACTTGGCGACATCGAGCGTCGATTCTGCGTGGCAGGCGTGGCACTTATGGCACTGGGCTGGCTCTGGTGGCGTGCTTGGGTCCCAGTTGACGCCGTGGACGCCGCGGCTGTTTGCGTCGCAGCCGTGGTACTTGGTGACATGGACTTGCACTTTGCGTGGCAGGCGTGGCACTTGGTGACGTGGATCGTCACTTTGCGTGGCAGGCGTGGCACTTATGGCCCTGGGCTGGCTCTGGTGGCACTGGGCTGGCTCTGGTGGCGCGCTTACGTCCCAGTTGACGCCGTGGACGCCGCGGCTTTTCCCGAGGCTGGCATGATACTTGGCGACATGGACTTGCACTTTGCGTGGCAGGCGTGGCACTTGGTGACGTGGATCGTCACTTTGCGTGGCAGGCGTGGCACTTATGGCACTGGGCTGGCTCTGGTGAAGCGCTTGGGTCTCAGTTGACGCCATGGACGCGGCGGCTTTTGGCGTGGCAGGCGTGGCACTTGGCGACATCGAGCGTCGATTCTGCGTGGCAGGTGCGGCACTTGGCGACATGTACGTGCATTCTGCGCGGCAGGTGTGGTACTTGGCGACATCGAGCGTCGATTCTGCGTGGCAGGCGTGGCACTTATGGCACTGGGCTGGCTCTGGTGGCGTGCTTGGGTCCCGCAGTTGACGCCGTGGACGCCGCGGCTGTTTGCGTGGCAGGCGTGGCACTTGGTGACATGGACTTGCACTTTGCGTGGCAGGCGTGGCACTTGGTGACGTGGATCGTCACTTTGCGTGGCAGGCGCGCTTGGGTCCCAGTTGACGCCGTGGACGCCGCGGCTTTTGACGTGGCAGGCGTGGCACTTGGCGACATCGAGCGTTGATTCTGCGTGGCAGGTGCGGCACTTGGCGACATGTACGTGCATTCTGCTTGGCAGGTGTGGCACTTGGTGACATGGATCGTCACTTTGCGTGGCAGGCGTGGCACTTATGGCACTGGGCTGGCTCTGGTGGCGCGCTTGGACGCCGTGGACGCCGCGGCTGTTTGCGTGGCAGGCGTGGTACTTGGCGACATCGAGCGTCGATTCTGTGTGGCAGGCGTGGCACTTGGCGACATGTACGTGCATTCTGCGTGGCAAGGGTGGACCTTTCCTTCGTTTCGCGGCCCTACGTATCGCTGGCAGGTACCTCTGCTGTGGCGGTTGCACTTTTGCACACGCAGTGACATGTCACTGTTTGGATGAGATTTTGGTACCTGCGTCATCTGTATAGCTATTTGACAGCATGCAGTCAGACAACAATGACACCTTTCCTTGGTTTCGCGGCACTACGTATCGCTGGCATGTACCTCTGCTGTGGCATTTGCACTTTTGCACACGCTGTGACATGCTTGCGTTCGGATGAGATGTTACTACCTGCGTCATCTGTAGCCATTTGACAGCATGCAGTCAGACAGCAATGGCACGTTTCCTTGCTTTCGCGGCACTACGTATTGCTGGCAGGTACCTCTGCTCCATCACTTGCACTTTTGCATACACTGTGACATGTTTGTGTTGGATGAGATTTGACAGCATGCAGTCAGACAGCAATTACGCGTTTCCTTGGTTTCGCGGCACTACGTATCGCTGGCAGGTACCTCTTCATTGTGTTTGTTGTGCCGCAGTTCCTTGGGAGTCTCAGTTTGACTGGGCGCAGCAGGTGCCCCATGCTGTGCAGAGACATTTGCTGTGGCGGTTGCACTTTTGCACACGCAGTGACATGTTGGTGTTTGGGTGAGATTTTGGTACCTGCGTCATCTGTAGCCATTTGACAGCATGCAGTCAGACAACAATGACACCTTTCCTTGGTTTCGCGGCACTACGTATCGCTGGCAGGTACCTCTTCATTGTGTTTGTTGTGCCGCAGTTCCTTGGGAGTTTCAGTTTAATTGGGCGCAGCAAGTGCGCGATGCTGTGCAGAGACATTTGCTGTGCACAGACAGTTGTTGTGCCGCTTGCATTTTTGCACACGCTGTTCACACACAATTTGCTCACACACACCTTGTCCTCACCAACTTGCTCACACCAGTTTGTTCACACACAACTTGCTCACACACACCTTGTCCTCACCAACTTGTCCTCACACAACTTGCTCACACACACACACCTTGTCCTCACCAACTTGCTCACACCAGTTTGTTCACACACAACTTGCTCACACACACCTTGTCCTCACCAACTTGTCCTCACACAACTTGCTCACACACAACTTGTCCTCACACATCTTGTCATCACACATCTCGTCATCACTTGCCCCCACACAACTTGTTCTCACACAACTTGTCCACACACAACTTGTTATGGAGAACAACGCCTTAGTGCGAAGATCTAGCGCCTGAACGCGGCCATGCGATCGACAGAAAAGATCACGTTCATGACAGATCAGAACAGTTTCTGTGCAATCGGTTGCCGCTATTCTTGTGTTGCTTGCTTTCAGCGGGAGCTACATTACTGCACTTGCCGCAGTCGCTTGGCAGGTCCAGCATGCTGCGATGTCGCGATCTTTGCTAGTGCTGTTGCAGTCGACGGTGCTCATGTGTCTGTTATCAATCTGTGCTTCTGAAACTAACAGTCTTCATGACAGCCGGTGTTTTCTGTTGTTCTGCCAGGTACCGACTTCATCGCGCAGATGCTGCTGTTCCTAAGCATCATGTTCGGAAGCAGTGGTGGCATCTTTCTGTAGCCAGGTACCTTTCCGTCTTCATCACGCCCATGCCGCCGCTCCGCTCGTGGGAAAAATAAGCGTGCTTGCGAACCTACCATACATACATACATAAATACATACATATATACATCCATCCATCCACCCATGCATCCATCCATCCATACATACATACATGCATGCATGCATACATACATACATACATACATCAAACACAACTTGTCCATACACAACTTACTCACATTTACTTTTCCACACACAACTTACTCCACACCAATCCTTCACCATCTCTTTTCTCTTTCCTGCTTTCCCCATGCCATCTTTACCTTTCTTCTGCTGCTTGTTGGAAGAAGTTGACATGTGGGGCTATCCGGTCCTTTAATTTAGGATTAGTTTTTGGTCTGTCTTGGGTTAGTTTAAGGTCTATTTTGGTGTTGCTTAGGGTCTACTTAGAATTTGTTTCAGGTTGGTTAGGTTAGATCAAGGATTATTTCCGGATACAATTTGCGCATACAAATTACTGTGAATGTGCGTATGCATTATGTACGTGATTGTTTGTACATATCTATATGAGGAATTTAATATATATATATTATATATATATTATATATATATTATATATATATTATATATATATTATATATATTATATATATATATATTATATATATATATATATTATATATATATTATATTCCTCATATAGATATGTGCAAACAATCACGTAGATAATGCATATATATATTATACACACACACACGCATAGAGTAGCATTTTTACAAGTGTGCAAGTTTGGATTTAAATAAAAGAACGGGAGAGGGGGGATTGGGGGGACCAAAGCAGATGCATATAAACTCAAAAGTAAACTTCTGACTGCCATGCAACCGTTGTGAAACAAAAGTCAAGCAAATGTAGTGTCTTGAAATACGGTTTTAAGAACTGGAGGAACAAAAAAAAGTAGTTATATAGTTAGGACATGTGAAAACAAGGTGGGCCAGAGAACCCAAAAGCAAGACGGCACACAGCACGATTTTTTTGAAAATCTTGTGGTGTGTGCTCTGCACGAAATCGACGTAAGATCTTTACTGAAACATCGTGCGCGCTGATGGTATCAGGGGCCGCAATTCACCACAGCATGCTGTGTCAGCTACGTCTACATTCTTCTAGTCGCTATTTCTGCTAATGTAATTAACTCTATCCCATCTTTTTAGCCGCTATAATTCCTGCGTTCTCGTTTAGTTTGCTTCGCCGCAGAGGGAGCGAGGACGAAGCGTCGACGGACAGAACACCGTGCAAAATGAAAACTAAACGACGGAGGGAGCTGACCAAAAGAGCATGAAAACGAAGATATGAAGGTGATAGGTGGTGAATGATAGTGAAAAATGAGACATGATGAAAAATGGGTAAAGACTTCTCTGTACAAAAGATTCTTTGCATAAATGCTTCTGTATGTAAAAGCTCCTCTGTGTTAAGATTTTGTTTGTGTAAAACTTCTGTGTGCAAAAGCTTCTCTGTGTAAAAGACTTCTCTGTGTCAAAGCCTCTGAGTGTACAAGCTTCTCTGTGTAAAAGTTCCTCTGGGTAAAAGCTCCTCGGTGAAAAAGCTGCTCTGTGTAAAAGGCTTCTCTGTGTAAAAGCCTCTGTGTGTGTGTGTGCAAGCTTCTCTGTGTCAAGATTTCTTTGTGTAAAGATTTCTCTGCGTAAAAACTACTCTGTGTAAACGCTTCTGTGTGAAAAAGCTTTCCTGTGTAAACGCCTCCGTGCGTAAAGACTCCTCTGTGTAAACCTGTCTGTGTGTAAAAGCTCCATTGTGTAAAGGCTTGTGTAAAAGCTTCTGTGTGTACAAGTTTCTGTGTGTAAAAGTTTCTGTGTGTAAAGCTTCTGTGTGTAAAGGTTTCTGTGTGTAAAAGCTTCTGTGTATTAAAAAACCCTATGTAAAAGCTTCTGTGTAAAAAAGCTCCCCTTTGTCCTGTGTGTACAAGCTTCGCTGCGTAAAAGCTGCTCTATGTATATAAAAGTTCTGTGCGCCGTAAAGTCTTCTGTTTGTATAAAACCTCCTGTGTGTGAACGCGTCTGTGTGTACAAGATTCTGTGTGCAAAAGCCGTGCTGTCTCGGTCCCTCCCACCGAAGATCTCCCCAAGCTATTTCCACGCTTTCCTCCCAGCAAAGCTCTCCCCAAACTATTTCCACGGTTTCCCCTCCGTCCAGCATGCTGTCTCGCTCCCTCCCGGCGAAGCTTTCCGCAAGCTATTTGCACTGTTCCCTCTCCGTCCCGCATGCTGGCTCGCTTCCTCCCAGCAAAGCTCTCCGCAAGCTATTTCCAACGTTTCCTGTCCGTCCAGCATGTCTCGCTCCCTGCCAGCGAAGCTCTCCACACGCTATTTGCACGTTATTTCCTCTCCGTCCAGCATGCTGTCGCGCTCCTTCCCAGCGAAGCTCAATGCAAGCTATTGCCACTGTTTTGTGTCCCGTCCAGCATGCTGTCTCGCTCCCTCCCAGCGAAGCTCTCCGCAAGCTATATTTGCACGGTTTCCTCTCCGTCCAGCGTGCTGTCTCGCTCCCTCCCAGCGAAGTTTCCCCAAGCTATTTCCACGGCTTCATCCCGTCCAGCATCCGGTCTCGCTCCCTCCCACAGCGAAGTTTCCCCAAGCTCTTTCCACGGCTTCATCCCGTCCAGCATCCGGTCTCGCTCCTTCCAGCGCAGTTTCCCCAAGCTATTTCCACGGCTTCATCCCGTCCAGCATCCGGTCTCGCTCCCTCCCAGCGAAGTTTCCCCAAGCTATTTTCCACGGTTTCCCGTCCAGCATACTGTCTCGCTCCCTCCCAGCGAAGTTTCCCCAAGCTATTTCCACGACTTCATCCCGTCCAGCATCGGTCTCGCTCCCTCCCAGCGAAGTTTCCCCAAGCTATTTCCACGGCTTCATCCCGTCCAGCATCCGGTCTTGCTCCCTCCCAGCGAAGTTTCCTCAAGCTATTTCCACGGCTTCATCCCGTCCAGCATCCGGTCTCGCTTGCTCCCAGCGAAGTTTCCCCAAGCTATTTCCACGGCTTCATCCCGTCCAGCATCCGGTCTCGCTCCCTCCCAGCGAAATTTCCCCAAGCTATTTCCACGGCTTCATCCCGGCATCTCTCGCTCCCTCCCAGCGCAGTTTCCCCAAGCTATTTCCACGGCTTCATCCCGTCCAGCATCCGGTCTCGCTCCCTCCCAGCGAAGTTTCCCCAAGCTATTTCCACGCTATTTCCACGGCTTCATCCCGTCCAGCATCCGGTCTCGCTCCCTCCCAGCGAAGTTTCCCCAAGCTATTTCCACGGCTTCACCCCGTCCAGCATCCGGTCTCGCTCCCTCCCAGCGAAGTTTCCCCAAGCTATTTCCACGGCTTCATCCCGTCCAGCATCCGGCCTCGCTCCCTCCCAGCGAAATTTCTATATTTCCACGGCTTCATCCCGTCGAGCATCCGGTCTCGCTCCCTCCCAGCGAAGTTTCCCCAAGCGATTTCCATGGCTTCATCCCGTCGAGCATCCGGTCTCGCTCCGTCCCAGCGAAGTTTCCCCAAGCTATTT